TTTAGACTTTTTGCTTTAGAACAGTTACTACTTCAGACGCCAGCACGTGCAACGCGTGTAACTACACTTGTAGCATGCACCTCGGTGCTTGGGAAATTTAGAGAAAGGTCTAATATGGTCTATTGGGACGCTGTCTGCTTTGTGTGCTATTAATACCCGGCCGATTGAGTCAAGGCAATCCACTTTCCAAAGACATTGCCATGCTAACATTTATCGCGTTCATTTAGGCTTAAGAATGGCCAGAATCGAAAGACTATCTAAAAAATGCGGCGAGGTCATATGCTCATGCTTTGCGATTTAAATGAGGTAAGGCAAAGCGAAAGCCTCTGGCACCATTCATTGCTGACTAACGCGCCCAATATTGCAGCTACAACGACATATTAGTTTCAAAGCGAGCGGCGCTCACTCACCGGGGCACCGCCATGTTTCCCTGCATTCCTGCCGAGCCAGTCACGTGATTTCAAAATCCCTCTCCTAGGTACTGCGGTTAACTTTAGCCGCGGTTAGCGCTTGAGCAAACGGGCCCTGGAAGCCACACACTTTAGTTTGAAATATCAGAAGATTGAATTATCAAAATTCATCTAAATATTGTCACGAATAAAAACATACTTCTTTATTAAACTTAAAATCAGTGTGTAATGCGCCGAACTTGTGCTGAGAAACATAAATTAACAAAGACTTTTGATGGTGTCGAAAGGACAACTGCCTCAAGCAGCCAAGCGAAGGTACTTTTGTAAGCGCGTGGGTATCTAGAAGTTTCTGAGCTCGAACAAAAAAAATTTAGAGTCGTCTCATCATTCCAGTTACACAAACAAAAGAAAGAAGGACATGCGCTGGCGGGGTAAGCGGCATGTGAGTCGATCACGCTGCTGACTCGGCTATTTGCACGTGGCATTACTCCCCTCTTGTGAAAGACTCGTCTTTATGCAACACAAAATTGAATTAACAGCTTAAACAAGACTAGGTCAAAATACAGAGTCTCGTAAATAGCAGATTTTCACAGTCCTACCGAGCATACCTAGTTCAGTTGAGTCGGAAGACGTGAATCGCCTACGGGTCGCAGAGGGCAGCGTGACAATGTTGATGTGCCATTGGCCAACGACTTACAACTTAGGTCTCATGTAGCGAATAACCTTGAGGTCGAAGCACCACTTTAACAGTTCCTTGCTGCGACGATGAATTGGTGTTTAGATTCACAGTGGGTAGCCAGGCTGAAACTGGGCGTCGTGGTGACAAAGATTGTAGCAGTCATCGTCAGGAAGTTGTGGCTTGCATCAAAATGCGACCAAGCTGGCAAACTTCCTCCGTTCGTTGAGCATTCAGATCGCACTTTCTTGTTTTCAGGAAATGCGAAATGAGTAAGGTGGATAAGGTGATAACATGACAGTTGACCAAGAAAGGAGAAAAGACTTGAGACTTTCTCGGACACAGCTGCTTGCCATCTTTATGTGACTAAACCCGAGACGCAGGAGGAGGAAGACACGTAAAGAGGACACACACGGACTGTCCTCGTGCATGTCCTTTTTGTGGGTCTTCCTCCTCTTGTATCTATGTATAGCCATGTTAACTAGTCACTCATTCCTCTATCAGTTTTTGCTATCTTTGCATCTTCTATGCTGCATGCATCCTAGCCCATGCTTTATTTCTTGGCTATACCAGAATGAATGGCACCAGCGGGAGAATGGTGGCCGAGTGAGTGTGTTAACGTGCCGCACCTTGGTGTGCGTGGAGGAATCCTAGGTTCACTCCCCAGCCCTGCCTGTTCGATTGCACCGAGCATCGTACCGTTATGCATTCGTGTACGGTAATCCCTCGTTAGCTCGAACTCGGCTATCTCGAAATATTGGTTAAGTTGGAAGATTTCCTAGCCATAAAATGAACTCACATAGGCACAATTCATTTACTCATTGCTTATCTCAAAAAGGTTTCAGACCCACCTTGGATATCTCGAAATCCTGACAACAAATATTACAAAAAAAAAAAAAAAAGAAAAACAGGCAGAGCACAGCAAATAATGACCTGGTGGCCTAAACATTGGTTCTTGAAGGAAACCCACAAACACACAAAAAAGAAAAAAATTGTGCATCATCGCACGTGTGCAACAACGCACAAAGAAAAAGAAAAAAAGTCCGTGTCATGAGTGCGGCAACGTGCGCAGGTGCAGCAAAGGCACTTCGTGGAGCAACATGTGCCTCAAGGACATTTGTTGTCTCACTTTCTTTTAATACGAAAGCATTAACCGGGTCTCATGGAGTGAACTGACGTCATCAGCTTTGAAACCACGCCAAACGGCATCTTAAATCCTTTCTCCAAGTGAAGCCAACTCCCAGCTGTGAAACCACGCAAAAAGCTAGCCAGCGGCACCAAAATTCTCCAATCCCAAAAGAGTGAAATAAAGCTGATGGATTTTCGGCTTCAATCCCATTGGCTGGCGTGCGTCGACGAGGCTCCCATTGGCCACTGCATGTCAGTTTCAACGACCGCTCACGCGGCGCTGCGTGTCCGTTAGCGTAGCGTTAACACGGAACGTCCAAGGTCAGCGCGCCCAGGTGAGCGCGTGCTGACCCGCAATGAAAAGTATGCAGCAGACGAAACAAGGGAGCGGACAAGCCGCTTGCATGCTTTGGCATTCGCAACTCATAAGAAGTGATTAGGTATACTTTGAGCCTTTTTCTTTCCCTAATATGGCTTGGTGGTTGGTGCCCCTGTTTCTGTCTCCCTCGCACTCAGCGTTATCTTCCAGCTTTATCCTTTCAATCTTTTTTTTTTTATTCTTTCAATTTTTTTTTGCATTTTGTTTCTTAGTTTTGCTGTCTCTTCTTATTGATTTTTAATATTAATTTTGTTGCATTTTGTTTTGTTCTCCCCACCGCACCTGCACCTGCCGCATGTGTTAGCGCCAAGTCAATTGGCGCGATTGTTGGAAGGGTTCCATTTGCACAATGCACTATCAGTGTAATGAAAATTCGGTACCTCGCTTATCTCGAAACTGCTCTACTCTCGAATTTCTTTCTAGTTTTTATGACTTCGAGTTAATGAGAACTTGCTGTATAACCACCGCGTAATGCACCAAAAAGACCCCAGATTAGCGGCAGTACTGGCTTAATTTATTAGAAACACCAAATGCCTGTCGGGGCTCACTAACTTCCCGCCGTTTAGTATACAGTCGAGTTCACTTATAACGATATCCAAGTGCCAAGAAAATACCTTCGTTATAACCGATAATTGTTATAAGCGGGTTGAGGAAAAAAAGACAAAAGAGAGATCAAAACATTTTATTTGCAGGCAAGTAAGGTTGTGCAAGTGCAACTACTTGTTTGCAGAAAAGCCATAGTCTGTCAGCTTTGATTGCTTCACGCGAAGCTGGCGCACATCTTTTTCTAGAGCATCTAGGTGCTCCACGTAGCTTAGCAGGAGGTCCTTCGCGAAAACAAAGTCCCTGAGGGACTGTATTATCCGCTGGGCCTCCTGCGATGACAGTACCTGGGTAGGCTCCTCAACCACGTCGTCGGAGTCGTCGGTCTCACCGTTGTCAGCAGCATGTACACGCGCGACGATCGCCTCATCACTGAGGCACTCGGACGTTTCCACAACATCGTCTGCATGAAGGAAGTCGTCCAGACCCGATCTTGCGTAGAATGCGCCGCAGACAGATCGGCCACGACGCCCCGTCCGCAGTGAAATGTAAAACGAAGTCGGAGAAAGATAATCTAAGCAGCGAGCACACAACAGTCGAGTGAGCGAGCGAGTGGCGCCAGTGCGCCGAGTGCGCGTGTGGTGCGACCGGGTGCGCGGACAAGGCCAAAGCGGCGTCTCCGGGAGGGGAGTTCGGAAGGAAAGCTGCTCCTCCTCTTGCTTCCTTCCTAGCAAGCGGCGCAGTCGACTCATTTTCTGAGGGGTGGAAGGGATGCGTGTCGCGGGGCACAGCATGCCGCGGAGAGCCGGCGGTGGCTGGCATTTTCGGCGCATGCTGTAACCAGAATTAATCGCTATATCCGATATCGCAGCCCTGGAGCATCGTAATAAGCGGTTTATTTTACCATTGAAAGCATATAAAAGTGGACGGTGCTATCGTTGTTCATCGTTATAACCGATATATTGTTGTAAACGGTATCGTTATAAGTGGACTCGACTGTACCCTCATGATTTAATATCACTGAACACTTCAGTTAGTTTTGATATGGGGCCTGGAACGGGCCTCCGACTGGTGCGTTTACCGCGTCCTGGAATGTGGTTCCCCAATTCTCGTGTAATGTAGTGGTAGAAGTGCCATGTTGTTGCCGGCTGTGGGCTTTGCCGTGGTGTGGGAGCGGAGGGTGGGGCAGCAGAATCCTCTTCCGCTGCAGTTCACTCTGCAGCAAGACGGTCCACGCAAACAAAAACGGACTTGAGATGGGACGCGATGACGACAATGGTCCTCGCATCCTGTCCCCTTTCCCGCCTGCATTAAATACTCCTTTCCCAGAACCATAACAGAATGGAACAACCTACCTCATCACCTATTTATATCTGACAATGTTTTGGAGTCGATTGAGCATTTGTTTGATGTGTAACTCTTTGCATTGTGTTTCATTTTCCTGTTCCCCACTACCGCCACCCCTCCCAACTTTGTTGTGAGCTATTACATATGCTTTATTTAAATTTTTGCATAATTTTCCCCTGTTCCCCTCTCCCATTTTACGGATTACCTGGTGTTGCACTTTTTTGACTCCACTTTTGTAACCCCCAATCCTGCTTGGGCCGCAATTGGCCTGCAGTATTCCTAAATAAATAAATAAATAATAAATTTCTAGGACTAACAGCTGGGATAGCAACGCAGCATGATGGTATGCCAGTTCCTGCGATGCTGTCAGTTGCCGGTTCGGTACCGCTTTTGATGCATGAGTGGAATGGGACGCTAAACGCGCCAGTCAAACACTTATTCCAGGCACTGTAGCTTCAGTCAACAAAGGGACTCGAGTGTTCCATGGGTTCTTTATTTGGCGGTTGTCCTTTTGCAGCCTGTGACTGCCACCCGTCGGCGTCCCTAGGCGCTTCGTGCGACGCGGAGAGCGGGCAGTGCACCTGCCGGAACAGCTACGGCGGCCGTCAGTGCCTCCACTGCCAAGTGGGCTTCTACGACTACCCCACCTGCAAACGTGAGTCTGCTCATTTTTGCTTTATGTTGTCTCGGTCGATCGAATGGTTGCCCGATTGACGTACAAGTCGGTCGATTGAATGCTTCATCAAGTGAACGCAGAAGTAACGACGAACAAAGTTGAGGAAATGGATGTATTGCTTGGTGCGTCGATAAATCATTGTCGTAAATGAGCAATCGTCAGTTTGTCACTTACTGTATTTACTCGAAAATAGGTCGACCCCTATTTATTGAGCCCACCGAGAATAAAAAAAAATAATTCAAATATAGGTCGACCTTTCTTTTTTTTTTAAGGAACAGGGGAAAGTTAGGGCAAAAGAAACAAACCTTTATTTACAGCACTCAGCTAAATCACAGGGCGATGTCAAAAAAGCTTCGTCAGCTTGGTAGACATCCTCGCAAATTGGCAACAATACCTCACTGACACCGTTGTAAAATAAATGACAACAAGAAGAAACAAAAGAAGGTGGAGACGGGCGAGCGACGAAAGATCAAACACAAAGACACGAGCAACGCTGCGAGCCCCTTGAGCAACACGCGACCCGCCGAAAAAAAAAACAACTAAAATACCTCCGGTGGTTTTTTTTTTTTTTTTTTTTTTTGCGCGTTTGCGAGGGAGAGAGGAATGGAGCGCATAGGAGGGTAAAGTGCATGGCGCATCGCGTTCCTCTCCCTCGCCTTCCCCCTTGCCCAGCGAGGGGAACGCTACAGGCGTGATGGCGAAACTCGATGCCCGAGGAATGTGCGCGAGAGCCGTAGCGGGCGGTCACGGACTGTCGGCTGCTGCTGTTCGGTTCTTTTTGTGCATCAAAAGCTTTTTGAAACAAGAAGCCGCGCGGCTCTACCGCGACAACGGCTAGGTGATTGATAGCTCCATACCCTCGGTAGGGTTTCAAATTTTGGTTGCGAATTAGGTCGAAATTCTTTGGTCACGATTATAGGTCGACCCTTAATTTTTGACAACATTTCCGAAAAAAAAAAAGGTCGACCTATATTCGAATAAATACGGTAGGTCCTATCCACGCAGTTCAAAATGATTTCTGGGAGTGTGGTGGATTCGTTCGACTTACGTGCATCGGCCTACGGTGGTGTGGAAAACTGTAACGCGGTGCAGAAAATCGCGGGGCACTGTAGCTCCCCGGTTGAAAATCGGCCCACCTGCAGTTGGATGATGGAACTGGATGGAACAGCAAAGACCAGTTTCGTTATCCAGCTGCTGGTGGGCCGACTTTCGCCTGGGCCAGCAAACGCTTTCAGATACGCTGCACTCGTAAATCGAACACGACAACGTGCATCGAGTGCAGCTGGTGCGGGAGGCGTAGGTATAGATTGAACAAACCTAGTAAACTTTTAAAAAAATGGCGTGTCCTGACAATGGTGCATGCCCGGTGTCCGTACAGTGTGTTCGTGCGACCCGACGGGCACTACGGAGGAGGTGTGCAGCAACCAGACGGGCCAGTGCCTGTGCAAGCCCCAGTACGGGGGCCCACGCTGCGACCAATGTGCCCCGGGATTCTACAACTTCCCCAACTGCATTCGTGAGTACCTCCTGTGCTCCTGCGACTTTGCTCTTCTTTTGGAATGATTGTTGACTGCTTTTATTTTGGTGCTTCATGGTGAAAGCTCTTAAATAGTGTAAGTTGAAAAAGCTATCCAGGACAGACACAAAAATCCAACAAAAACACGCAGGAAAGCTTTGTTTATTGAACGGAGCAATATGGGCGCTTTTATTCATTTGTGGAAACTGTGAGTGTACAGTCACGCAGAAACTAAATAGCTCCAATCAAGTGTGTGTTCTCCCCTTTCAATCAGACCATGCTGAGAAGATGCGGATGATAACAGCGGTTTCTTTGCATTGATGGGCTCCCCCCTTGTCTGTTTCACATGGACGAGTCCTGATGTCAGCGCTAGTATGAAGGAAAACCGGCAGGAAAGCACTCCTCAGAAAAGAAACGCTCGTTCGCTCAGAGCAATTTAGTTTCTGCACGACTGTAGATTAGTCACATCTGCAATCTTTTGCACAAATCTTATTGCACAATCTTGTAGCCTGTTGAAATACAGGATCTGCGGAAAAGCTCTACCTTCTGCATGCACTCGACAACTTCGGCCCCCATCGAGCACGTGGGCTCGATGAGGGCCGAAAAAATGGATGTCACTTTACCTAAACACCAATCGAGCTTCTCCGCTGAATTTAGCGGGGAAAATCAACGTCACTTGACCTGACACCGCATGACCTACAAAAAAATTCAGTTTCCATGCTAAATTTCGCAGGGAAATATAGGCCATATGTCACACAAATTCCCTCTCCCCATTTTTCTCCTCCCTTCCCTCTCCTCCTTCTCCCTCCTCCTTCCTATTTCCATCTCTTCCCCCTTCTCCTAGGGTGCTCTCCCTTCCCCTCCTTCTGCCCCCCCCCCCCCTTGGCCATGTGACACCAATTCAGTGTCCCTGTTTTCCCTTCTTTCCCTCTCCCAGTGCCCTTCCTTGCAGTCCTACAGTGCTCCCTCCCCACTTCAGGTTACATGACACACAAATTCTATTTCCCCAAAAGTGATAAAAATATAGGTTCTTCACTGTTGCAACAACTGTTCAATCTCTCCCAAACAATTGAAACAGTCTCTCCTAAATACTGAATTTCACGCATTTTAGGTAGGTTTCCGTGTTTTCAGATAAATCCGAAAAGCTCGGAGAAGCAACCGCCAGCGAAGTTTTCGTCACTTCGGATTTATATTTGATAAACTCAAAATTTCAGTGTCCCAATGTAAAGAAAAAAAGTATCCTACAATTAAGTTTGATCAGTGCACAGGTTCAATGCTGCTGAGAAAATGCCATCTCAGTTTTCTTTCAAATCTAGGAATATTGACAAAAGTTGTTGCACCGTTCATCTCAGCCAAAGGCTCATTCATAACAATGGATCATTGTGCTCCCAAGTCACGACAAAAGTCACTTCCGGTTTCCAGTTTGGACCATATTATCTGGGCTTCTTAGAGGAAGGAGGGTTGTGTTTTTGTAGGAGTGAAATCTACGAACCATAGAGATTTCATGGGAAGCTGAAAGGCAGTTGAAGCATCTATATTTACACCCTTTATCACTCCACCCCGCACAGCCACGGGTAAGGTGATGGAATACGGTGGAATGAAAACAAGCTTTCCAGTGACTACCTCGAAGAATTTAATAATTATAAGGTATCGACGTTTATTAAGGCAACATTGTTTGCACGCTTTGTCTTGGGGCAGGTTAGTATTGCCAATAGCTAGGGTGCCAATGCCAAATCCATCGAAAGAAATATTATTTGATACAAGTGCATTCTCTTGAACCTAGCACAAGTATAGACCCCTATATTATTTATTTTTATTTTTATGTTTAAAAATAAAAGAAACATAATAAAATTAAACTCCAAATTTTGGAGAATTGGAGATCTAACAAAAATAAACTCCGATAAACTCGGACTTTTTGGCAAAAAGTAAACTCCGAAAAACACCCTCATAATTTTAGAAAAATAAACTTTGGAAACACGGAACCCCGATTATAGTAATTTAAAGCTAAAGGTCATTGGCAATTTTTTTTTGCTATTCCTACCAGCAACTTGCTGCCTTAACAGTTTGTTCCAGAGGCAATGTTTGGGCCGAGAAGACTGTGGTGCCTCGCAGTGTTGTGAGCAGCGCAGGGTAGCGCAGTGCACAGATTTTGCTTGCTCGTGTCGACGGTGGTCACACTGTAGCAAGGCCACGGGAGAGAGTGCCAGCAGTGGTCCGTGCTTTATTTGTGCAGCCTGTGAATGCGACAGCAAGGGCTCCCTGGGCAATTCGTGCGACAACGCGGGCAAGTGCCACTGCCTGGCCAGCTTCACGGGCCTGCGATGCGACCAGTGTGCCCCGGGCTACTACAGCTACCCAGACTGCAACCGTGAGTGCTTCTCTGCGATACATATAAGGGTGTAGGGGGGGCTTGAAATGGACTTTGCAAATCATTCTTTGTCGGCTTTGCATTCACATTCAAATTTTGTGAAAATTGAGGTCTTCAGTCTTCTCGCTCTAAATATTACGGACAAACTTCTCCAGCCAAGAGCTTAAGACCCCGGATTTTCTTCACCCTCTACGTAAAGCATTTGATCATCTTTGGCACAATTTAGATATCTTTCGAGCTGTCTCGCTGGAAAAGCATAAAGGTGAAAAGCGGTGCCTAAGAACTAATTGAAAACTTTCGTATAGGTGCCATTCCAAGGATAGGTGGGTTTGACAGGCTATGCCAACCTTTCACGAATGTTTTAGCCCTTTGATGCATAAAAACTATATTCTTTTGTCAGCCCCCGTAAGATTTTGTTTTTAGGGTGTTATATCACACTGGAAAGACAACTTTGAGCTCCACTGAAATAATCTACTGCAACGCAGTGATGGAAGTGCTGCGCCAATTGCGCCAATTTGCGCCAAGGACGCAATCCTGCTACATGTAGCGCCAAATTGTTATTTTACCGAAGAATTGCGCCATGCCTGCGCCGAGATGAGATGTAGCAATAAAAAATAGAAACTGAAGTCTTATCAGAGCGCGTGTCGGTACCACGGTATTTTCCGCGCCGCAACTGTTACGCAAACCGAAACTGCGAGGGCGCATTATCATCATCATTGAAAGGAACGTCAGCAACATCTGAGACCAAAGCCGCAGAGGCTAAGCGAAGAACCATCCCACTGAGCTGCCTATTTAAAAAAAAAAGAAAAAAGGCCGAGCTTGTTAATGTTTTCAATGTTGGCCCGCCCTGTTCCCGAGCGCTAGCTGCAAGCGAAGTCAAAGCTAGCGCGAGCCCAATGCTGTGCATTCCTAAGTCGCGCACGGGCTCGTGCAGTGTGGGCACCGTTACAAGCTTCATGCGCGTGCTTGCAGCTTCAGATGCGCTCGCACTGAAGCTGAAACGAAGTCTAGTTGAGTTGCACCAAACTCTGGATGTAGTGCTGGTAAAGCCTTACCGTCCTTTTCAGAGCACAAAGCACTGCGCGACTGCGGTGTCTGCTCCGCGGGTGTCGCTTCTCTGCAGCGCGTCGGTGCATGCCAAGGAGCGCACTCAACGGGTTAACTCGCCATGATCCGATCGTGACTTCGCCAGCACATCGAAAATGAATCGTAATTTTTGAAGCGAATATCAGATACCGCAATATTTGAAGCTGCTGCCCGAAAGATAACTATAATCTGAACTAAAACATTCCACAACAGTAAGGGTCGTTAGATGCTGCTGCAGATACCTTTAAAGAAGTGCAGGGTAATAAAACTAAATATCCTGTACCATCAGAACTCAGTGTGACATATTTAATTGTATTTTTTTTATCTGATGAGCAGATAAACTTTATTTTAAAAAAAAAGGTTTTTTTGTTTACTTTGTTGAATTTGATATATCCTGTCTTAAAAAGGCGACAGACGCTGTGTTCCAACAGGGATGGGCTTTAATAGCACAGCAGCATTATTTCAATTTCAAGTAATATGCCAACATATGCCGGACCCTGCTCCAAAAGGGCCACTACCTGCTCCAAAACAACATTTTGCCTGCTACAAGGCCTGCTCCAAAAGGTCAAATGGCACTTCCATCACTGGCAACGCTACGTAGTTCAGTTTAAATGTGACGCTTGCGAAAATGTTGCTTGTTTGCTAAAACTTGATCATCTGTGCCAGGCCCCGTACGTGAAAAATTGCCTGGATGGTTGAACCGGTGTTTTGCAGCACTGGTCTTTATTCAGCATTATGCGGGACATTGTGAACAGACCAGATTGCTCAGCCTGAAGATTGAATGTGTAATAACTTGCGGTTTTGCAATTTGTGATTGATTACGTAAATGAAGAAAAGTGGCTTTCTTTTCAAAAATACAGTGAGTGTGCAAGTGAGCTGGTGGATGTTGGTTGTGTTGAAAATTACCCGGGACTGTGGTGAAAGATGGGAAACCTAAAGGTTTCCCATCTTTCACTCTGTAACAAAGAATGGTGCTGTGAGGTCGGTTATCAAGTGCTAGATTCGTGGCTGTATAGGAATTGGAGGAAATAAACGCAGTAGCTAAGTTTGAGACATTCCTTTTCTTGTGTCGCACAGTCTCATGTAATTTTAATCTTGACTTCCTAATTTTTGGTTTAGGCAATTTTGTCCTTCAACATTTCTGCACCGTCTGAGCTCACACTAGTGAGAAGTTGGCACGAAGGTCCTCTGATGCTTCAAATCTCGTGAGAACTGCTGCGCCCTGGAGTGAATGACCCTCAGTGTGTCCCCTGCAGCCTGTGGCTGCGACTCGTACGGATCCGTGGGACTGTCGTGTGGGAGCGACGGCACCTGCTTCTGCAAGCCCAGCTTCGACGGAGAGAAGTGCGACCGCTGCAAGAAGGGCTTCTACAACTATCCCCTCTGCGAAGGTATCCACACTGTCAACACATAGAAAATTGTCTCGGTTGTGCTTCTCTCGTAGCATCATAATCTGCTTTGCCTCTGTTTGTTGTCATCTTTTTATGTGTCTCATTGGTCTGATATAGCCGTGTACATGGCTGAGGGGGAACGCTACTTCATACCTAGGGTTTGGAGTTTTCGGTTAAAACCGATAAAAAACGATAAAAGTACGCCGAATCCATTTTCTGAAATTCGGTTTTAACCGGAAAAGGTCAGTTTTTTTAGGGCCGCGTCAAGGTGGATGGGGGGAGGGGTGGGGGGGAGAGGGCATTGCAGGGTTCAACATTGTGTGACGTCTTCTAGATTGCCCTCTTCCAAGGTTCAATATTCAACAAAAGAGGTCTTGGATTGGCCTTCACGGGACATCTGTGTCCTTTCTGTGATCGGGCTTAGTGTGTCAAAGTCTCGGTCCCCCAAAAAATGTTTGGATGTGGGCTAGTATAATGTTTTATCGCTTCATGCACTTCAGGGGACATCCAGGAAAGCCGTTAATACCTTTCTTAACACCCTCTCTCAAACTTCCCTGTGGTTGAGAACATAAATAAAATGGATTTGTTTTGCCATTCCGCTGGTCACTGTACGGTCATCACCTCAGACGGTCACGTCGTCAGAATGGGAAGGAGAAAGAAGCGCGCGGAAGGTTATGCCCGCAAATTTCGCGATTTTGAGGTGTATCCTGACGGAAGTTGTAGCGAAGACCAATTATGTATATGTGCCGTTATTCTTTGAGTGATCACAAGTATCACAGCTACAAGGATCATCTGATCCGGTGTCCGATGGTGTTTTTTTTCATATTCATCGAAAAAAAAAGGTAAACTTTCATATTCACCGAAAAAAAACGAAAATTAAATTTTAAAATAGACACCGAAAAAAGTATGCCGAATTTTGAAAAAATAAAAACCGTAAACGCGGAACCCTATTCATACTTGTAATGATTTGTGTTTACTTTTACCCCCAATGTTAAAACGCTCGAACATTCTAGGCCGAATGTTTGAGATCCCGAGGGTAATAGATAAGGGGCCCAGCACGGCCTTGCCGACTCCCTCTCGCTCCAGCCAGCTGTCACGCCGACACCTCGATGCTCGCTTCTGCTTTTTCGGCGATCTTTTTTTTTTTTTTATTTTACTTCTGGCGCAAGTTTGCGGATAAATCCTTTATTTTCGGTTTGACGCTTGTCTATCCTTTTTCATCCGTGACAATATCATGTGCTCAAACTCAGTCCATTACTATAACGGACAAATTGGCATAAGGTTTTCACATTCTTGCTATGTATCATGACTGACTTGAACTTGCTTATTGGCATCACTGTAATTGACATTAACACTTTTTTGTTAATTCCACGAGCTAAGGTTTTCGAAAATGCAGTTTTTGTAGTTCTCTAGCTCTTGTTTGTTATCTTTATATTGACATATTCAACAAAAATACACAAAAAACGCATTATTCGTTGTGATGGTGAGAGTGAATGACAGAATGGAGTTCGGACCATGCGCTGTCTCTACATAAAAAAAGAGGTGTTGTGGTACGTCTTTTCTTAAAGGAATCTGATTTTTACGGCAGTCATTTTTATCTGTAATGTTGAAAGAGCTTTTATATATCTCTGCTTGTCAAGACCAGTGTTTCAGCGATAAATATTTTGAGCAAATTTAAGACGAAAAACCTAAATATTGCCATTTGGGCTTACGTTCACACTCTGTCGTACCTAGTCACCCATTGCGAGCTTCCCAATACAAACTTCAAAGCCGAATCTTGAATTTTTCATTGTGTACTTTTTCTGCCTTACTAGCTCAGTTTTGTATGAACATAGCGTGTACACTGTGCGACACTGTTAGTGCGAATACACCATCGGCACTTTTTTTGCTTTTCACTTCAATCACGTACCGGCGGCCACTATATTTTGCCGTTAGGTGAGGGCCCCAGACGAGTCCTTTCCACCACACTAGTAATTTGTATCATGCTCTTTCGATTCTAAAAGACAAGAAAAACTGCCAATTCTTTGTTTTCTCTAACAGTATCTTGCAGTGTACATTAAGCTATTTTACGTAACAGTTTGTAAATGTTTTTGCCCCTTCAATCTGTAAGGCATCCCACGGATGTTTTTGAGAATTACTAAGCTTGTTGTCTGCGAGGGTGTCTCAAGGGGAAGGGGGCGTGGCTTCCCGCAGGCTGCAACTGCAACCCGGCGGGGATTCTGGCGACGTTTGGCGGCTGCGGCAGCCTGACGAGCGGGGAGCTGTGCGAGTGCAAGGAGCGCGTCACGGGACGCATCTGCGACCAGTGCCGCCCGCTCTACTGGAACCTCAAGCCGAGCGACCCGCAGGGTTGCGAGGGTGAGGCTCGGGTGTAGTCTGGCATAGAGACACCGTATACACTTTTGGCGTCGAGGTCAAAAGCTTCTGGAGGCGACATGACACCACGCTTGGTCCCCTTCGGGGCCCCGGCGGTGACCAGAACAGCTGTTGGCGCCAAGTCATTTCTCCTTTTCGTACAACGGCGTCTCTTGGTTTTGGTCATCGTTGAGGGCATATCCCTCCACACTTCTGGCGTCACCTCTCGTGGCCTCATGTCGCGTCCAGGAGCTTTCTGCCGCCATAGTTTTTGGAGTGTCGCATCTCTCCTCCCTTTGCCGACAATTGTTTTGTTTGTGTTTTGTTGCGGTTGACAGTGCAGTCGCCATATTGGGTTTCGAGAATTCGGTTCAAATGGCAGCAACTCGCCATTCCGCTGAAGGCATGTCTCATTAATGTTAGCGTCTTTGAATCTGCACGTGGAATTGTCCACTTAGCCATTCTTATCTTTATTGATCTCTGAAAAAGAACTCGTCCTTCCTTCCTTTGTCTTGTTCTCAAAAATGACTTTTCAATACTGCCACCACTGCGTAAATTTGGCGTCATGAGTGATGGCATCTGGTGGAGGCAGTGCAAACTCTGTGCACTCATGTGCCTGGCTTTTTCTTTTGTCTAAAACAGCATCATTTTGTTTTTTAGACAAAAGAGGAAAACAGTGTTTGTAACTTCCGCTGTCAGAAATCGGTAAAGAATGGTTGAGGCACCAGGACCACCTGTCATGACGTTCCTTAGGGTCAATGCAAGGAGGTCAGCCTGAACATTAGACAAATGCAAAGAGAGAAAACAAACATACAGACCTCTCTGTGTTTGTCTAATGTTCAAGCTGACTTCCTTGTATTGACAAGTACCAATTAGCTCAACCTAAGCCTGTTATTCAAGCCTTACGGTGTCGGGTATCGGTTAAAGAAAAGCATAAAGAACCCAATTCTGCTTGCTCGCATTTGAGGGGAGGAGATGCACTTGGTCAGGTTGTGGTTTTCTTGGCAACATTATGAAACCATCCAAAATCTGTGCAGCACCCCCATGCTCTTAAAGTTAATCTTGCCTTTTGTTAGAGACTGCACTAGAAGAATGGGGACAAAGTGAAGCACAAGTTCTCAAAACTTTCTGACCTTGAGGAACCTTTATCTGGCTCGACTGAAGACCAAGGAACCCCTCCTTATGCAATAAAGCAGCACAAAAGCCCACAGGCCTTCTAAACAATCATGCACTTACTAGATAGTGCTTGGCTCATAGCTAAGCATCAATCAATGGCTCAAATCTGCCTACTTAATCTGGAAAGGCACTTTACTTTGGGACAAGTGCGGTCGAGGAAATTGGGGAGCTTGAGAGTGCTCTGGGGAACCCTCGAGGGTGCTCTGGAGAACCCTTGGGGGTGCGCCAAGGAACTCTTAAGGGTGCTCTTGAGAACCCTCGAGAGTGCTCTGGAGAACCCTTGGGGGTGCTCCAAGGAACTCTTAAGGGTGCTCTTGGGAACCCTCGAGAGTGCTCTGGAGAACCCTTGGGGGTGCCCCAAGGAACTCTTAAGGGTGCTCTTGGGAACCCTCGAGAGTGCTCTGGAGAACCCTTGGGGGTGCTCCAAGGAACCCTTGAGGCTGCTTCTGGAACCCTTAAGGGTGCTCTGGGGAACCCTGTTTGAGAACCCACGCTTTAAGGTACAATGCCTCAAAACCGGAGCGCTCGAGGTGGTTTGCTAACGCCGCCGTTCCCTCCCCTTGCGCAGACTGCGAGTGCCACTCCCCGGGCACCCTGGGGGGGCTGCGGGTGTGCGACGGCCAGAGCGGCCAGTGCCTGTGCAAGCCCAACGTGGGCCAGCACCAGTGCACAGAGTGCCTCGACGGGACCTTCCACCTCCAGGACCAGGACCTGCTCGGCTGCCAGGGTGGGTCTTGGCCTCTGGGCCTTGGCATTTTACTCCCGTCTTCTGTAGATGGGCATCCAGGGCAGTGGGGTGCTTTCGGTCGCTGACCGGACGGCAACCTTCTTTTCCTCACTGCTTGTCTCATACTGTACTTTCTTTTGTAGTTATCCTCTCTCTATTTCACTGACTGTGCAGGTATTTGCTCGCGAACTTTTTATTACTTGTTTATTTATTTATTGCAATACCCTCGGGGCCGAAAGGGCATTACAGAAGGTAGTGGGCAACTGAACACAGTAAAAAGACATACATATGAGTTGAACGCGGTTACGGGATTTCAAAAGTTATTATTAATGGTAGTTTTAAACAAATCTAACGATGGTATTGATATTATAGATGCAGGCAGGTGGTTCCACTCTGATGATGTTCTAGGTTGGAAGGAATCGTTATAGGCTGAGGCCCGACAGTGAGGAATGCCAACTTTGAACTGATGGTCGAGGAAGAGTGTTTCTTTTAGGAGAGGATTAGTATGATATATTTTGTAGAGAAGACATAGAAACCTATGGCACAATAAAAGAAGAGGTAAAGAGAGGTTAATTTTCATGAATGAAACACTGGGTGTTTGATGATAGTTGGTTATTATAATATGAGCACTGCAATTTTGAAGTGACTCCAGGTTAGCTGTGAGGGTGGTCTAAACAGGACACCAGATTGCAGCAGCATTATTTGAGCACAAAAAGCTTCAGGGAGACGGGGGCTAAAGGAAAGTGATATGTCAAAGAACAAAGCTCTGCCCAGAGGATATACTAATGGGTGTGCAAAAGGAGCATTGTCTGCTAGTTGTAGCAATGACTGCCTTGTTTTTCCTGCGACTGCCAGAGATCCACCAGTTCTTTACAAAGCTGAACTTGGCCTCTGAAACAAATGTACACGCCTAATCATGCTGACAAAAACCTGTGTTCACAGAATGTGCTGCAGAAACCACACTTCCATGTGTGGTTTGTGCTAGATCTTTAAATCCTTTAATCTCTCTTTTTTTTTTTAACCTTTTGTGATGTTAGGTGCTAGCCACCATAAAGGATGCTGTCTGCTGGGGAAAAGTTGGCTGTACACAATTATTTATCCTCACTGTTTTTTGCACCTCCTTTCATATGTGGTAGGAGGCATTTCTGTTGACTTGTTCGCTGTATTTTATTTTTGTGAATTTGGTGGCAATTTGTGTTAGAGGGCAGCTCCACTCAATTCAGAAAATTTCAAAATTATGAGTGATTTCACATTTAAAAGCACCAATAAAAGCCACTACATCATTTGCTTCTCAAGAAATGGGATATATTTTGTGAAATCTTACTTTAAACATGAGCAGACACTGAAACCAAAACTTTGGCTCCGTCAGGCAACATTGGCTTCCGGCCGCCCAAAATATAGCTATTGCGTGGTACGTGCGGTCACATAATCTTCTACGCAACAATGGGCGGGATCAGGGTAAGTAACTTAGGACGGGTGTGTGCAAGGTGCAAGTGTCTTCTGCACTGCAGTCTTCACCACGTTTTGGTGTCTACGATATCTTACAAGGTCTGCATAACTGCGGCATCAGTCTGTGCACGTAGTGTGTACAAAACTCGCGAGAGTCAATAATTGCGGCTGGCGAGGCGATGATGACGACGGTTGAGACGTGTCAGACGGCGGTAACAGCAGGACGGCTGGACGGCTCTCCCAAGGCTGAGAAGCGGGCTGCGCAGGCGTGTTTAGCCAATCACGTGGATACCGCCGAGCACCGAGAAGAGACGCTGGTGACGTCCCCCATTACGCTTGCCGGGGGAAGTAAAAACAAACAAAAAGTAGACTTCGTTTCAGCTTAAGTCCTGATGCAGCCGACGCTACAAGCTTGAGCATGTGGCCCCGAACGGTACTTGCACTGCTTGAGCGTGCGTGCTTGGCAGGAACGCTGAAAGCCTGCCAAGACTTCAGCTTAAACAAAGTATTGCAATATTGATGACGTTTAACTCAATGTCGGCTACGACTGCGCTGTCAACAGTGCCTCAATACGCCCGTTAGAGTCGCCCAATTTTGGCAACTTGGCACTTTCCAAAGTCAGCCAGACCGTTTAAGAAACATTTAGAGAGAACTTGGTCGTAATATTTTACGTGTGGCCTTCGTAGAGAATACTGAAGAGGACTGCATTGTTTTTTCAAAACTGAAGCGTAGTTGTCGTTTAAGCATAGGCATAAGTAATAGTTTGGCAACACTGTGCCGCTCCTTTTGTGTTGCGCAGACTGCCAGTGCGACGTGGGCGGAGCGGTGGGCAGCTCGTGCGACGCCCGGAGCGGGCAGTGCCAGTGCCGGCCCCGCATCACGGGGCGCCGTTGCTCGGAGCCCCTGCAGGCGCACTTCTTCCCCACGCTGCACCAGCACAAGTACGAGGTGGAGGACGGACACACCCCCAGCGGGGTCAACGCCCGCTTTGACTTCGACAGCGGCCTCTTCCCGGGCTTCTCCTGGAAGGGCTACGCCATCTTCTCCAACATTCAGGTGAGAGACAAAAATACTCTACTCGCTACAGTGCAATCCACTTATACCGATACCACATAAAACAATGTACTGCTTATAATGATCAGTTTCTAGGGTTTCTAGTTCAGATACAGTGCTAACCTTTTAAAACGATTGAATTTTCAGGTTTTTTAATTATCGTTATAAGTGGATTGCACTGTACGTTGTACAGTCATGTGTCGTTAATACGAACCCCATTAAAATGGATGCCCCCTTTATATAGGCAAGGTTTTCTAGGATGAATTGGGTAAATACACATTTTTTTGTCTCGTTATAATGAACAACTCGCAATGTTTTGGGGAACGGAGGCGTCCCTATGGACGAGACAGCACTGTTATACCATATAACCTTACAATCTGTTACGGGAGAGTCTGTATAAGAAAAGACACAAAAATGTGCTGGATTATGGAACTGGTCTTAGCTGGATCCGGCTGGGACCAGTTTCATAATGCAGCTGCGGGTGAACTGTTAATATATAATTATAGCAAGAGTGACATTGCAGTGATTCATCAGCATCACATGATATGGTGTGTTGCATCACATGACGCTTCGCATGACGACGTTGTTTGGAGCACCACGCAACACGACATGCAATGTCTTGTTATTATGTCGCCTGACATGTGTGGTCTCAGATGCCTCCAGCTGAAAATCAGACAATCTGAATGGATCCAGCTAAGACTGGTTGCCTAATCCAGCTGAAAGTGGACTGCATGGTTTTCACCTGGGACGGGACCAGCACCTGGGAGCTCTCAACAGCGGTGTTCATCTTAATGTGGGCATTACCCCGATCCTTTAGCACAGTTTTCTCTCGCAGGTATGCGCAAATCACCAAACTTTAGCACTGAAGTTGGTACCGTATTTGAATCTCTGAGAACTAGGAAACTGTCCATTTGCTTGTTGGGTCTGACTGAGTCTTACTCTATACTTGAAATGGAACGGGCCCAAGACCAGGGTGTAAGGTAGACAGGTGGGGAAACGAGAGTCAGATGAGCGACCGGATTGTGTCCCCCTCGGTTTTCTCTTTTTCTGTGGCGCCATCTATGTGGAGCACCGCAAACTCTCACTCCGGGTGGGCGACCGGTGGCGACCAGCTAAACTGACGGAGATGGTTTCTCGTGGATTTTCAATGGGGGACTGTCGTGCTCTCGGTTTATTTTGCCCACTCTCCCGTAGAGTTGCACGCAAATCCGATTCCGACTTTTTTTCCTCTCGCCGCAGCACCATCTGTCGCAAATCGGGGGTACCCGCAAGCAGACAAGTACACAATCCGGTCACGGCGCTGCGGTAGGCTTCTATGGGCCGTTTCCCCACCTGTCTATCTTACACCCTGCCCAAGACTAAGATCGTTTTCCACCTTGCCCTATTCGCACTGCTTAGAGGGCATCTACATCAGTATACAAAGACACAATTCTTGACAGTATAATGCAGGGACTAATCCTAATGCTATCATTTGTTGAGCATATAGGGAGTATTCACTGGCGGCCATAGCTGTGTGCGCGACTGCTGAGCGCGTGCTGATTGCGAGCTTCCACAGTCCTTTTGCAACGTGCATTCCGGCCCATGAAGAGTGCCGGTCTTAGCAGCCTATTGATGTGAGCTCGTTCGGAGCATGCGCTCTAAACAGCACCCACAAATGTGGCGTCCAGTGAATACTCCCTATAGGTATACAGTGTAGACCGCATATAACGTATGTCTGGGGAGTCGCGAAAATCCGCACTATAAGCGGTACCGCACTATAACCAAAACATCAATTTTTCAGGCCAAAATACATGCCATGAGACAACTTACCTTTGTAAAAGAATTTATTTTATGTTAGATGAAAAAATAAGCTTAGTTTGAGGAAAGTCTTTATTTCAATAGACTAGTACAGTTATGTCTCAAGTGCGTCACACATTTTAAAAGAAATTAGCGGCTTTTGCCTGGCGCAGCCTTTTAATGGCGTCGCGGGTTGCGGACGGACGTTGCGAGCGTTCAGGATTGCTAACCCTAATCACTTTTCTCCGGAGATGAAAACGCGTGAAAATTCGTATCCTTCATACGCTACGCGCCAGTAATACCTTGAACTTGAGCACACGCATGAATTGCGCCAAATAAGAAATCCGGGCGATGTTCGTGGACACAAATGCTTAGAAATCACCACTGTAGTCGAAGTAAACAAACACGACGACACGGGCGTTTTTGCCGTCTTGAGAGCGCCGCCACGACATCGCCGCACGAGTAGGTGCTGGTGCTGCCCCCGAGCCGAGAGCCCCGCTTCCAGGGGGTGGTGGGGCAGGACGGGGTCACTGCCCTCCCCTTCGTGCTGAACCCCGGCCGATGGACCCTTTCCATCAAGGCCCCCCGGCCCGTCTTCCTGGTACGTAGCGGATGCGTGGTCCCTGCCTGCCCGGGACGCGTCTTTGGCCGGTGTACTTAGCATCCTGTCCCTCCCACGCAGTGAAGTGGTCCCGAAGTGGCTACAGAGTATGTCGCGGGAGCTGGCATGTCACGTTGTCGGACGTTGCAATCCTGGCAGTTGGTCGTAGAAGTTTTGCAAAAAGAGGCAAGCGAGCGAGGGTGGCGTCGTCGTCGTGGCATGCCAACTCCTGGCTGCTCAAGCGTCTGTGGATTGTCAAGCTCGTGTGCGACCTGCTGTAGAACTCCACGGCTGCGACGCCGCCGGGGGTCACGGCAGGCGATGGCGCGCCACTTCTGCGATGTCCTCAGTCAGAAATTGAGAGAGGACGTGTGAGGATGCAGTAATTACACCAGTCGGAGACACGTTCTGCCACCATACCCACGGGGAGGAAGGCTGCGCGTCGGCCTGCCGCCTTGGTGGTCTTGAGGCAAAGCACCGGCCTACGGATCCCCAAGTGGCAGGTCCGAATCTCGGCCGAGGTCCCTGCAATTTGATGGAGGCTTATTGCTGGGAGCCAACATTTCGGTTGCGTGTAAAAAGGTCCCCGGGCAGTTGAACTCGATCCTCGGTTATTTAGTACGCTTAGGCGTACCGAATGCCCTTCATTGGTTTGGCACGTAAAACTTTGATTTGATTCGCTGGGTCGGCCCCCCGGAACGTGGGAGTGAGTGTGGCCCCGCATTCCCAGGACTACATGGTGCTGCTGCCCGAGGCCTTCTACGAGGCGACGCTGCTGCAGGAGCGGGTGCGCCACCCGTGCCTGCGGGGGGGCAACATGGCGGGCCCTTGCCGCCAACTGCGCTACCCGGCCCTGCCGGACACGGCCGTGCCGGTGGCCGCCGCCCAGGGAGCGGACGGACAGGGTGCCCCCGTGCAAATTATCGACGACGCGGACGTCCTGGAGGTACGAGAGCTCGGCTCGGGCAGTGGCTTGAAAAGCTTTCTTGTGGATATCTCCAACTCGTGTGCTTTGTCTGAGAACCGTGTGGCAGCACTTCAAATGACGCTTACAATGTAGGTAGGCGTCAATAGTAGGTAGATAGTAGGTAGACCTCAATGTATCTACCGGCCCTGGGCCGGTTTGCTGATCAAGGTGGGTATCGCTCTCGACGGGTTAACCACCCGGAAGAGGAATTTTGAAGTCACTACGCGGGGACAAGAAACCAGGGTATCTAGCGCATAGGTGTACGGCTGCCGTAATTTCCTTCCCTCTTTGAATACTAAAGTTTGATTCCAGGCACAAACACAGGAACGAACTCGATTATGGCCGCCAGTGAAGGTTTCGGTGCCCACGGTCCTCCAGAATCGATTCGACAAACGGCGTCGACCCACACCCTCCTCAACTCTGAGTTTTTGAGGAACCGGTGAAAACACAAGCTTGGGTTGCGCAGCAGGTTGTTTGCACAACCCACAGCTTGGCAAGGAGTGCTCGGCATTGTGCAACGATGCCAGTCCCTTGGGCTCCTCGCACTTCGGCAGCACGACCCGATTGAGCGAGCAGGGAGTCGAGAATCTTTGTGCACGGTCGCTGAGGAGCACTTACAATCAACAACCACTAAAGCGTAACATAACGAGCAGAAATCTTACGCTGGGACAGCTGAAAACAAAGCAGAAAAGCATGGTAAGGGAAGTGGCAATACGAACAAGTAACCTGCTTGAGTGCGGACGTGACGACGGGGCCCAAGGTTTCTTGGGCCCCGACGCCAACTCGCCGAATGCCCGAGGATAAGCTGGTGGTAACATCTTTAATATCGGTTTTAGAGTGGATCGCACTTTCTCATTAGCGTAATATTTTGGCAGTGCTCGTATTTAGTCTCCGTGAATCGATACCAGTCACTTATTTTAGTTCGACAACTAATTCGAGTTACCCTTTAAGGGAAGACATGGGTCTTTGGCACTAAAAACTCCCTAATATATCATAGTTTTGGAAATTACTATTTTAAAAATGCAGCTATTTTTTTTTGTGATCTACCACTTTTTTCATTTTTTAGACCAGTATTTGAGCCATGATATAATTTTATAGTACCGCTGCGGGCTGAATTTGCATTGAAGTTCGTACTAAAACAGTGCTTTCTTAAGAGGGATTCACCGGCAATTTATTTGTAGTCTCTTCCTTCTAGATGGTGCTAAACTTTTCCGGAACAAACGACCTGCTCCCAGTTGGGTATGCAGCTCAGGGTTGGCTTGGGACACAAGTTGTTGACCGTCGATTTAGGCGAGCTGTAGATATTGTTCGCGGAACATGAGCCAGTGATGTAGAACTGGCTCCAAAGTTAGAACCACGTTTCAACCATTTGAATGCACCTATTTAACGTGAACGCCACATTTGTCGATTGCGTTGTGCATTGGTTGTATACGCTGGTTGTCTTCATTTGCAGACAACCTCTGTACTGTCACAAGTTATGGAGTCGCCAGCACAACCGGCACCTTGATTGCATGTACCGGGCTCGTCTGGTGACAACAAATAGGAGGCAGTGCGTTGCGATGGAGTTTAGCAGCGAGAATTTCGCTGTTAAACTTCGCTTCGTGCAATCCATTCTTTAGACGTGGATAAATGATGACTATCGTTTGATCATGTACAAATTGCAATCGTAGGCAGAGAAGGACTTTTGACCGGTACAGTTTTCAATGTTCGTACTTATGCATGCATTACTCGCTTTCTGTTGCAACGAACATGCGCATGCTAGGCCATGAAGATCGCGAGCTGAGCTGTGTGGTGTTCAATAGCCGAGTAGTTTGTAAACAAAGGGCTTAAAGCCGGTGCAGTGCTCAATATTCGTGCGCATGGTGGGTGCTTTGCTCGCTTTCCGAATCAATGAATAAGCGTGTGCTCGGCGGAAAAGATAGCATGCTGGCTGTGATTTTGTAAACATCGGAACGGTATATAAGCATCTGTCAGCGTCTGCTCTTGCACGCTATATGGAGCACAAAAATTTAACGAAAAAGAGAACACATCCTTAGCTTCTTATATCAAAATGATAACAATGCTTTCCTTTTGGCTTTTTATAAATATGCATATAAATGTATATACATACGCAGTTATCCCGTGTTGTAGCTGTGTATGCTTCCATCACTGTTCCGTTCGCAGCAATATAACCTAGTTTGGACACAGTATAGCCTACAAAGCAGTTCTTTTTTGCGTCATAAGACCCGTGATCCCCATCATTGTGGCGGTCGTCCCCAGGAGCTGCACAGCGGGCCCATGGCTCACCTGGACGAAGACCACGGGTCCCTGCGGCTGGACCTGCGAGTGCCCAGGGCCGGGCCGCACGCCCTGGTCTTCTTCTACCACTCGCTGGACAATGACGGCTCTGTGGCCGCAGACCTGGTGCTGTCGGGCGCCGACCGGCTGGCCACGGGCAGGGCAAACTTCCACCACTGCAACTACAACCTGCTCTGCCGACAGGTGCGCTGCACGGGCTGCTTTGCTTCCGCCGCGCTCTGCACACTGCTCAGATGTTGTGTCCATCCCACCCATTCCATGGCTTGGTTCTGGTGCCGAGTAAAAATGGTGCCATCGTTTTTGCGAGATTCGTTTAGATATTTTGTGCCCTTTCAGCCTGTTCTTTCGCCGGGGGATCATCCTCTCATCTTGTTCGATTGATTACACAGTTTTATTTCTAGCACTGGCCTGTTACACAAGTTCCAATACAACACGTGTCTCTCAGGTCACATGTCATACTAAAAGAATGTGATGTGTAACCTAGTTTGGTGCATTTTGCACCATAAAACGCTTCATCATCAGGTTGCTTTGTTTGGAGGCTAACCTGCGGAGTTGATGGCCTTTCTTAGGGCTAATATGTCATGTGCATAATTCATTCCTTGAACATTGAATGACTACAATTACTTACCTGCATCACTTGTATCAGTTGTTGACTACACACTTTTGTCGTACAGCTATTGCTAACTATCAGTTCCTTATTGTTTAAAAATTGTACAAGGCCTCTCCGAAAAAAACTTTACACTCTTTTTAGTTACGAAAATTACCTATACACTCCGTGCGGGAACTATAGGAGGCGCTTTGAAAAACGCGAGCAGCGCCGCTAGCGGAGGAGCTGGCGTTCGACTGTGAGACGCGTTCAGCAGCCTGCGGCGCCTTTTCGCATGCCAAGCTGTGGCGGCGGAAGCGCGCACAGACGAAACTTTTGCTTTTTGAGCTGATAAGTTGAGGGTGACGTTGCATGAGTGCTGGGGCAGAAGGGCATTTAGCTGTTCTCCACTTCTTATATATTGAGTTTGAGTCGTAATTAGGGGTAATTTCTCTAGTTGCGGCCGAAAAAGGAGTTGGAGTAATTTTCCGAAAAACAAAGAGGGCCGCCACCTTAATTGATCCGAGTGGGAAATTTATTTCGCTCGTCACTGTAAACCTAGGACTGCTGCAAAGATGATATTTGGAGGCGAGTGAGATGTTCACTAAGTTTGTGCACGAAGAGTGCCAAGTTTCTTTAAGACAGCAGGTGTGAAAGTTATGTTTTTAACGAATAAAGAAATAAAGCTGTACGGGATATCCAATATTGGTCCCTAAATGTGCCTACCCGGTTACCACGGGGATGCCACCAGGGGGAACCACGACAACTGCCTCATCTGTGCCTGCCCGATCCCGTTGCCCTCCAACAAGTGAGTTCCAGTGACAGGAAATCGAAGACGACTGCTTGACACCCGCTTCTTTTTATTTCTTTTCCAGCTTCGCCGACAGCTGCGAAGTGTCTCCGAGCGGACAAGAGATTAGCTGCAACTGTAAGAAGGGCTACTACGGACCTCGTTGCGACGTGTAAGCATGACCTGTCTTGTTTTAACCTGTTAATGGGCCGAGGCATCTCGGAGTGTGTTGGAACAACTGCAAACTCGAGCAAAACTTTGGATGGACAAAACTGATGACCTATTGGTCTGTTGATACCTTCTATTGGCATAGGCTCATTGGCTGCTTCGGTCTATCAATGTATCATTCTGCACGTATTTGGTCTTTTGACATACGAGTCCCATGCATAGACGCACGACTGACGTCGCACCACTGCTATGACGCTGCTACGGGCGCAGATACTTTATGCGTGAATCTGGTTTCTGTGCACACGCAGTGCTCACACCTGGTGTTTTCAAACACGGACTTGTTTGTAAACACCCTGATGTTGGTCTATAGGCATTTTACCGAGAGTTTCACGAGAGATTCAGTTTCTCCTGGATATGTGCATTTTTTGAGCCTTAATTATTTTTCTTTCATGCATGCACGCTCTTTGTTGCACAGTCACAAAGCAGGCTCACAGAGTTTTGGCTAAATGAAAAAACCGGTCTTCCATGCAGCTGTGATGCGGGCTACTTTGGCGAGCCCGACGTGATTGGCAGCAGCTGCAAGCCGTGCGAGTGCAGCGGCAACATTGACCCGGCCAACCCGGCCTCTTGTGACTCGGTGACGGGGGAGTGCGTGCTGTGCCTCAACAACACGTCCGGACCCGCCTGCGAACTGTGCGCTCCGGGATTCTACGGCGACGCCATCTCGGTCAAGGACTGTCGCAGTAAGCGCTTGCCTGCTCCAACTGACAGTCCAACTAGGGAATGGAAACATCTTAAATTAAGATGCTTCCCTTCTCTAGGGTGTGAGAATGAAACCTTTGTGCACTGTTACTGTGCAGATATTGTGAAGGATAGCGTATTTGCAGGTTTAGTATCTTACAAAGTGTTCTGTAATAGTGGCATCATCATTGGGTGAGAAGTTGCGGGACTTATGACGCAGGGGGTAATTTTTAGAGGTATCACCATTTAAAAAGAAAGAACCTGCGTAAGGGTTCTTTTATCTTAGAAACTAGGTTGCTCGAAATGTCTGTTGCAGTACATCGTAACGCCCATTGTGGTACATTGTAACATGAAATGTTGTAAAGGGATTACATACGCAGGCATTTACTCGCAACATTGCACTCGATCGTTTATTGTGTAAGAGGGCCCCGTAGCTTTGAAGCAACTGCATCCATTGCCGGCAGTGTAACGGGAGCCTGCGTGCTTTCTCTCGCAGAGTGCTCCTGCAACCAGTGCGGCATGCACTCCTGCAATCCCCTCCAGGGCACCTGCAACTGCCACTCCAACGTGGAAGGGAGCCTCTGCGACCGTTGCGCAGTAAGCTGCCGTAGTTGACCGCTCATCACCGCAATATCGCTGTGTCATCCTGCACCCTCTGGCAGTATGAGTGGTATACGCTGTCTCGTGGTGGCCTCCCATTTGGCCGAGTGAAAACTGTTCTGATGTTAGCCTGAGACTGAGGCAGGAAAAGAGGAAGTTTCAAAGTAGAAGAAAAAGGAACAGTCGAGGATACGTCTCTATGAAAACTGTAGTTTCATTGGAAGCATACAAATAACATTTTATCTTTTGATGGGAAAACAGCTTGGGAGTGACTAGGATCGTAGAAATTTTCAAATAATAGTTTCGATTAATACACTATTCAAAATTTGCTTCCAGGTGACTGTGATATTAATATTTCTTCAGTGTTGATGACGGCGGGTCAATCCCGAGTACTGTGTTTCTTGCCGAGCACTGGTGCTCCGTGGAGAAGCAGCACCCGCAGAAGGTAGCTCCGTGGGTGCTGTTTCTCCGGAGCGTACCGGTGCTCGGTAAGAAACCTGCTCAATGGGGCTATGCTGCCGCGACCAGCGCTTGGAAAAGTAAATATTGGAGTTGCGTGAGCTTTGTGAACGTTATCATCTGTGTAGCGGTAAAATGAAAAGAATTAGACTGTGCTTATTATGCAGGAGCATATATTAGAGGGCAACCTGCGTTTATCATTAGTGACTGCCTTTTCGTTGTACATAAAATACGAGATTGAAGAAAAGATTTTTTTTATGCACAAAGATGTAGTATAAATCCCCTCGATTACCGTAAAATACCGATCAAGCAGGTACTCAAAATTTGAAGATAATCGCGAAAAAATAGGGGATGGGCGCATGTGAGGTCATCAATTTTACATGTAGGGTGGTTCAAGTCACCAGGCTTGATCTAAAATGGACCGTAAAAATCGACTCCTGCACGTAGCCATGTAAACTTTTCGTCAAAGGTGTATTTCACAGGTCGGTTTTTTCTTGTAAAATTACAAAAGCGTAGCTCTCTTTCTGTAAACATTAAGGCCAAGAACCTTGCCAGGGTCTAAGGCAGGCAGCAATGCAGATGACAGAGTTCCGGTAGCGGGGTGTGTTTGGCATTCGTATTGATAGATGGCGCTCCCTCCTGATTGCGACGGCTCGCGACCACCGTGGTTTATTAAAATGAATATAATCTTTTTGAAGTGTACCTTCGGTTAAAAAATAAATGCAAACAATAAAAGCAAAACTTAAGTAAAGAAACGCGTCTGCATAACGGTGGCGCTTTTTCTGCCAACGGATTTCGTCTGCTATCTTTCGCTGGTCGGCTGCACCTTTAGGCACTGCTCTCCGACGCCATCTATCAATACGAACGCAAAACACACCCTGCTACTGGACTTGGTCGTCTGGGTCGCCGTCCGCCATAGACCCTGGCAGGTTTCTTGGCCCAATTTTTTTTACTAAAAGAGAACTACACTTTGTAATTTTACAAGAAAAAACCGACCTGTGAAACAGATACACCTTTGACGAAAAGTTTACATGGCTACATGCAGGCGTTGATTTATATGGCCCATTTTAGGTCGAGCCTGGTCACTTGAACCACCCTTATATATATGTCCTGTGCATATTTTTTTAGATATTTTAAATTTTGAGGGTAGGCGCTTAGTGCGGAATGGGTGGATGCACAGTATTCTACGGTAGGTATTTCGGGGTATCTCTAAAAGTTTAAAACCTTAGGCATTAAACTTTCTGAGGCCGCAGTCCATAAATATAGTTATATATGAATTTAGCTTAGAAATGGACTTCTAAGTGAAAGCTTGGGAACACCCTTATGAGTTCAGCAGGATTTTCGTTTAAGCATGGTGCAGTAGTGAAAGGCTCAGAGAAACTCTTCCATATTCGATTAGAAAATATTCGGCCAAAATCACTATCCGCATCAAATTCGCTTTGAACTCAAAATCCCCTCGTGCCTAGAGTAAACCCATGGAATCGGTATAATGCAAATGAGAAACAGATGTCTTGTGTCATCGTCAACGAGCATATGTATTGGTGCCGTGGCATACTTGTGTCGGAGTGCTTTCCCTAGTGGAGTAATTTTCGAGCTTATCAGCTTCTCATCTTATGACCATAACCTCTCTGTTTGTGGACCATTTAAAAAAATTCAAACGCCAAAAGATTTATCTCGTCGAACTGCATGTGTTAAAAAAAATGTGCTTCAAAAAACTACTTTCTTTTTACAGCGGAGCTGTTAAGGGCTAGTTTCCCCAGCATCGTGTTCGTCAGCAAACAAATGATGACACAAAACTCTGGACAGCTACCACCATCTGTGAGTGACGGTGGCAACCAGACAACTGGCTTGCCGGTTGTCTGGTTGCTACCGCCGCTCATAGATGGCGGCAACGTTTCCAGCCTTTTTACTCTGGTTTTCACCAGAGTGGAAAGGCTGAATTTCTGTAGGCGTCGTCTAAGAAGTCGTCCAACAAGTTGTCCTTGAGGTCGTCTGACCATAGTACAGCTTTGCTGGTCTTCCTTCTTCACCAGAGTGGAAAGGCTGAAAGTTTTTTATGTAACATTTGTTGAGAGCTGAAAAGTTTCTGTTTACGTGCTTCAAGAATGGTCAGTCGTGGCTTGATGGGACATATTTTCGGCCTTTGTTGGCTGCTGAAGATGCTCTCGAGTTGACCGACCGGGTTCTTTCTATTGCACCTCATTTCTGGGTTTCGGCACCAGATGAAAGGACTTCTGGTCGTTATTTTAATCGGCAGTAAACTTTTACGTGTCATTTCTGCAGTGAAGGAAGGATGTCAGCCAGTTGAAATGGTTGAAGCTCATGCTGCTGGTTTTGTTCCCAGTGGCTCTTTCCTCATCGCTGTTTTGCCTAGAAGTTCTAAAGTACCGGCGTGTTCTTCTTGGCCCGCCTTTTAAGGATGCTCAACATTTTGGGCGGACAAACCGCCCTTGGGCTTGCGGTGAGTGAGTGGGCGTGTGTCTGGCCGTGCAGCCCAACCACTGGGGGTTCTCGGAGTGCCGAGGCTGCCGCTCGTGCGACTGCAGCCTGGCCTCTCAGTCCAAGCAGTGTGACCTGGAGACGGGACAGTGCCCCTGCCAGCCGGGGGCTGGAGGGCCGCGCTGCGACGTCTGCGAGCCGGGCTACTGGCGCTATTCGGCCGACGGATGCATCTGTGAGTGGCTCTTTCGCGAGCGCCCACAATACCGGCGCATCTTCAATCGTGGCGTTCATTGCGCCTTTATTTCTGGTTTCCCGATATTCGCCTCTTGGTGCCGCCTCATGTGTTCGTCGTGTCCTCGTTTTTGGCTTTTCAATCCTCGTTTTTGGCTTTTCAATTTCCGCCTCGTGATGTCGCGTTTAGTTGCTGACTGTGATTTAAGCAGGGGTGAAGCGGCAGTTATGGTGGACGTCTGTTTTGCTGTAGGGTCAGTCGACGGAGACTCCGGCAGCCAGGAGTTGAAAGGCTGTGACAGTGGCGACCCGTTCGTAGCTTCGCCTTCTTTGCTCGCACTTTTGAGACCAACAGCGAGAATTGCGACCACTGGCGGACCCTGCCACTGCCTCCTGGGTTGTAATTTCTTGCCGCTTTTGTACCACTTTGCATGCTCGTGCAGTATAGGACATTAAACGCACCTGTTGGAAACTTGTTTCAGTTACTGTAGTGACAAGTCATTTATGGGTGCCTGTAATAGTATTAGAGGAACGCAACTATGAGGGCGTAACTATCGAGAAAAATTGTTTGTGGCCAGTGATTGAACTTTGATTTTGTGCAAAAACCACCTGTGGAGAATCCACTGTTTGGCGCTTCCCCCACTTTTTTTTTCCTCAGTCATGTATGATAACGATGAGGGTGCAGACCTTGTTATATTGTTGGATACTGTAAAGAACTTTATCTTTGCGAGCTCAATATTTAGTCATTTTTGGAGGCACAAAGTTTTGCGATTTGGAGTAAAATGTTATGGGAAAGGGGCGAATATTACCCCTTTCCCCATGGGGTGATATATTCGCGTAAAAGATGTTTTTGGAAATTGTTCAAGTTGCGAAATTGGCAAAAATTAGGTCCTCAAGAAAATCAAGTAATGTGTAGCGTTGAATGCCGAATAGTGACTGCGAGGGATTGTCGTTTGGCTCTAAAAAACAAGGTCAGATGGGTAGAGAGAGCAAGCTGGAGCAAAAAAGGCAGTTAGAGAATGGATTTCGTCGAAGCCAGTCGACCTGGCTTTCGTTAAACAATCTCACCATCACCAACAAAGTCGTCGGCCCAGGGGAGCGCTTCAATTCTCAATATGTATCTTAGAAGTAATAGGCTGCCTGAGTCAGATACATATTCATTAATAAATATATAAAATCCATAACGCACAATTTTATTACCACTGAAATGCAGAAAAACATGTCAATTTAGATAAACTTTCAACAAAAAGGTTCAGGGGACTGAAATGACCCCAAGGACTTCTTGAGTCTGACATCACATTCTTCTCTGTCCTTGTCCTCTGGTTTTGGTTCAAGCTTGCTTTTTATAGAAACTCTATAGAAAAAACATATTTGGGGTAGTGTCCTGGCATCATATTTCAGTGCTTTGCATGGAAAATTAATTTTTATGGTTCGTCGGAGGGCGTTTCATGTGGCAGATGCTCTCCGAATGTCGTCCAACAATGTGCCTCGTGTTTCAGCGTGCAACTGTGCGGCCAAGTTTTCGGCGGGTGCCGTGTGCAACCAGCAGACGGGCCAGTGCCAGTGCCTGCCCGGCGTGGAAGGGGACAAGTGTGACCGGTGCCCCTACCGATGGGTCTTCGTGGAGCGCGAGGGCTGCAAGGGTGGGCTTCCATTCACCAGCCATGACAGGCTCAAATAGGGCGCCTTAAATGCGTGGTCACATTGTGAGGGTTTTGTGAATGTATGAAGAGTTCGCAATGTCATGTGATGTCATGGTGTGACGTGGCGTCACCTTGTCAAGTGACGTCAGGCTTCCTAATATCTGCACTACTGTTGACAATGTTCTCTAGGCTTGTGCACTGCTTTGTTGTACCACTGCCTCTAGTGGGAGGGGTTTTCTTTGCTGACAGTCAAGAGAGAGGGGGGGTCTGTCACAAAGTTTCAGAATCCTTGAACACAGAAAAGAAAGACGCGTCGTGTTATGTTGCAGAATGACCTCATGTCATCGTCCTAAGACAGATGCCTGCAGATGAATTGCACCCTATAGATTCAAAGAATAAGTGCCAGAAAAAAGGAAGCAAAAGGAGTAGGTGTCCTTCTGTGACAGAACACGTAAACGTTGCAACCAATCGTATAAATCAAAAGGTTAAAAAGATTTTTTTAAGGTTTGTCATAGGCTGACAACCTCTCTGGGTGGCACATATAATTCAACTGCTTTATTTTAATGATTAAAAAGCATGAGAGGACAACGGACACAGAAGGAGACACAGACACAGCGATAAGCACTGTGTCTGTGTCTCCTTCTGTGTCCGTTGTCCTGTCGCGCTTTTTAATCTTTAGGAATCACCAACAAGCCCAACTTTCTACTCTCGTCTGCTTTAGTTTTATTGCGCACATCACGTGTGGTAAAGGAACCGTTGCGCATTACAGCCAGTAGAATTGAAGAAGCAGTTAAAATATTTAGACTGAACTATGCGTGGTGCGATGGATGGCCGAGTGTGTTATTGCATACCGGCTCGTAGCATGAGGAGCGAATGCTCGTGCTGCAGACCCCAGGGATCCCGGGCTCAGTCTCCACCGCTACCCATTTCTATCTTTACAAACATCGTACCGACGTGCGGTCGTCTGTCACCATTGCGCAGTGCACGTTAAAGACCCCAGGTTGGCAGTTGTACTGCACTGGATAAATTTCTCAGCTACAGTTCTAAGAAATCTGAAAAGTCTACATTCCAGTCGTTCTGATTTACAGAGCGAGCTTGGCAAATGATGAGGCTGGATATATGTTAAGACTTAAAAAGCATTGTGCGCTGCGCGACTGGGCATGACGTTTCATCGCACCTACTGTCTCAGCAAAGACAGTTCTTTAAGCCTAAACATAGAGTTTAAGCTGGTTATAACAGACTTTGATTTTGACCGAGATTTCGGTCTGTTGTAAGAGGAGTATGTTGTATCAGATATGAAGTTGAGTCAATGGCATGTAAAGGAAAACCAACCGAACTTCATAGATCGGTATGTTATATCCAAATGTTTGTTGTAACGAGCTTAGACTGTATTTACAGCCTTGTCATTTACCGAGCTCTCTTTATGGATTGCAGCGATTGACTCACCCAAGTGCTTTGCAGGAAAGTAGGGACCAGATGTACATTGGGGCTGTGTTCACTTCTTGCCGTCTAAATGTGCACACAGCACAATTCACCGATGTGCGTTGCTTACGGACGCAGAGTGTGGCGAGTGCGTGCACGCCCTGCTGGATGACACGGACAGCCTGGAGCAGATGATCGACAACATCGGGGACGAGATGCGTGACATCTCCTCCACTTACCTGGCCAACCAGCGGCTGCAGCTCGTCAACCAGACTGCGCACGACCTGAAAGTGGGTCCCTCGTCTTTCTTTCAATTTATGGGATGTACTTGTATTTCCCCAAAGAACTGTAGTCATCAAAATTGGCGGCATGTTTGGTCAACCTCCCAATCGCATTTAAATGCTGTAGCTTTAAAGGTTAAGCGGTGCTTATAGTTTGGATGGTGCCTGGGGCAGGGTTTCTTATGGAAACGAATTGCATCACACCATTGTCTCTTTCTGACACTGAGCGCGCTTCCCTTCAGCACCCCCCGGATGCAAAGCCTTTGCACTGAATTTTCTGGGTCACCTAGAGAAGTGAAGCACGCTTTCTCGCTCTTTCCACCCCTCTGCTCTTCGTGCCACCTTACACCACCTGCTTCTGCTCCTTTCGTTTTTGCGTGCTGGGCTTGTAGCTCGGTCAGCACCGCACTCGGCTTCCACGCCGGTGGCGGGTTCAATCTCTGGCACCGGTCGCCGCTCTTTTTCGGAATCGTCTAGTGGTTAGAAACTGACCTACCTACACATTTTGTGCTTGGGCAGCTCCTGAGGTTGGCTGGCCCTATAACGCTAACGCCTTAAAAGTGCAGCTCCTTGCGGAGCATCAATTATTTTCTTCTTTATGTAGCAAATTAAAATATATCTTGGTGGCATTTAGATTAGCTGTAAATTATTTTATCAATTAAGACATACAAATTCCAAAGGCCAAGAGCATTGTTTCCTTCTTCCACAATCAAATCTTGTAAGAACTACCTCGCGCTACGTATGAACCGTGAGCAAAGCTTACTTTTTTCTTGAGTTATTGAGAGCAATGTTATTAGGTGCACTCAGGTGCGGAAGTTTGCGTAGGCGCTCTGGACCAGTTTCATGTAACATACCGTAAAATACCGAGCAAGTGTCATGCAAAGTTAAAGATAGCAAGTGGTGGTTTGGGCTGGTAGGTCTGTCGTGTACGAGAAAGCGGCACCTAATAAACGTAAGGAAAAAAATAGACAGAAACAGTACAGAGTGCTCCTGTTTTGTCTATCATTGCCCTGGCATTTATTTGGCACTGTTTTCTTGTACGGGAGATCATTTAAAAATATGGGGATGAGTGCTTGTTCGGTTTGAAAGCAGAAAAGCTACGTGGTAGGGCAGGTTTTTGTTTGATCCGATTGAACAGTATAGGAGATATATAGGGGTCTGGCAAAACCCTAATTTTCAAAGCAGACATGGCACTCTCGTCAAGCCTGCTCTACTGCATCGCGCTGTCTTCTTGAAGAGGCATCCAGTGTGGTGAAGCACTTCAGTTAGCTCGGTGGGCTCAGAAGTTTGTTGGGATGGACACTTCATATTTTCTCGGCTTATATTTGAAATGTTTCTGTAGTAAGGGGTGGGCACTTATTGAGACATGGGTGCATACTCGGTTTTGAATGCGAAAGCATTAACTGTCTCATGAAGCGAGCCGACGTCATCACCTTTGAAGCCACGCAAACGGCTCTTAAATGCTCTCCAAATCAAGCTAGCTCCCATTCGCCGGTTAGCCATGGCACCTTTTACGCCGTTTCGATCCCATTGGCTAGCGCACGTCGACCAGGCTCCCATTCGCCGGACACGCAGCGCCAGGTCAGCGCCAGCCGGCGCGCCAACACGCGTAGAGCAAGAATGATGCACATGCTTTCGCACTCACAACTCATAAGAAGTGCTTAGGTGTACCTCAGTTTTTTTTCTTGGTATTTCAGGCTTCAAATCTCACCGGATTTCATGGTGGACACCTATGCTCTGTGTATTATTGGTCACAAAGGCAGTGTTTTCCAGCTCGCTCAAATTTCCTTCTTTTGTAATCGACTGCATCTGATGGAGCAGCTGATGAGATAAAAGAGCTTCGGGTGGTACTCAGTTTTTATACATACCACTTTTTATTATGGCTAAGACGAGCCGGCGCTCGAGAAGTCGGCTTGTTGAATGAAATGGCTCCGGCATATGCTGCCGATCTAGTTCTCAAGGGGGAAAAAACGGAGTACTGTTGGGTTTAAAGGGATACTTCAACAATATTTGAAAGATTCCCGTTGTGTTCAAAAATAGGTTGAATATGATTCCTAATATCCGTAAATGACAATCGCACGTTTGTATATTGATTCTGGTGGCTGTATTTTTCGTTATAAACGGCCCACTCTGGCAAGCGCTCGGAGAAGGCCCAGCGGAGACCACGTGACATCCAACGCAATCGTGACGTAGGTCGTCTCAAGACGAGCAAAGCTACGGCGAGGCTGACGTCGAGAGGATGGCCTAGTCGTTCCAGCCACCGAAGCGGCTGCTTTTGTACGAATTTTGAGCGACGGGTTAATCTTCTATAATCTTGTAGGGGGACAATAACGACTACTGCGGCACACAAAAGGCATTCTCGGGAAGAGGGGAGTTCCTCCTTTCCCCCTTCTCTCGTCGTGGCCGGAGGCGAGACAACCTCCGTCACTAGCTGTCAAGGTTCCTAGACGGACATTACAAGCGAGGCGTTAGCGACATCCATCAGGTGCTCTTTGCTAATCGTTTAATTAGTCTTAAAATTTCTTTTCGAGCCTTTTTTACAAGATATTGGTATGTTCGATGTGATGCTGCTCCTTTGAACACATATAGACCAAGAAATGAGCGCCGAAATTTTGTTGTAGTACCCCTTTAAGCGACCCAAATACAGCCCCAATTCTTCAGTTCTGTCATTGATCGAGCTAATAAACAATTCCTTACATGCAAACGAGCAGGGAAAATAATGGAAAATGTTCCCAGCTTTATATTTGGATATATATAAATTTTATTATGCTCACAATGGTATGGTCCCTTTGAATATATTATCTGAAATGGGCTCATACTTCCCAAGTACCATGTTGAGGCCGGACTTCATGGAGCAAATACGGTGAAATAACACTCAAACAAACTTTGAGGGACCTAAAAAAAAAGTTTGCTAAAGTGGGAGTTCACTTAATTGGATGCAGTGGACATAGTGCTGTTTTGCTGGGCAAGTTTACAAAATTTTCTTCAGCTGTTTGTTTTAGTGGTGTTTCACCGTATGCCGCAAACAATCAATGAACTTTACCCGACGGCGCGTTCGCTTTGTGCAAAGTCTAACAACTGCCGTTGCGATGCCACGTGCAGAGCAAACGTTGGTGCACCGAATTTGTCGCCTCTTTTTCTCGACAGAGTACTCTCCGTGCTTTGCGAGACTACGAGAAAATAAAATAAGACGCTCTTTCCCTCGACAGGAGCAGCTGATGAGCTTCAGCGGAAAGCCCGCCTCCCTGGACGTGAGCCCCCTGGCGCAGAACGTCAGCGATCTGGAAGCACTGGCCTCGACAGTGCGCAAGGACGTGAGTCATTCTCTCGCCTTCATTACTATGGTGCCTGGAAAGCTTCTCCGTCCACCCACTCACATCATGAAGTGTTGTCGCCTCCCACGATCCACACAAAAGCGGAGGTAGATGCGGTAGGCTGCTCTCTGGCTTGACTCTCCACAAAAGCTTCGGCGGCCATTAGTTGCGATGCGTTCGCTCCTAGTTTTTTGCCAGACCTTGTGGTTCTCCTTTGGGCCACTGCCTTTGGGAGTACCACGTTCGCGGTGAGACGCTCTACCACGAAGCGAGTTCGTACTCGCATGGCATGCTGCTCTTTGAGCGCAATCAGACACCAGTCACGTTGGTGACGGTGATAAACTCTGTTTATTAACAACGGAACAAATAAGAAAACAGCGGCTATCAGCTGGTGAACGCCGTTGGTGTGGAAATCGCCCACGGCCGAACAGTCGTTCACAAAGATACAAAGGACGAGGTAAATGCTCACCGGTGCGCCGGGCGGTTCCCCGTTGTCGCCGCCGCCGAATCCCAGGAAGAAGAGAGAGAAAGATCTCGCTGTTCGCTGGTTTTAAGATAACGGCGGGGCGAAGTGGCTAATCAAGAAGCGACACGTCGATCTCCTTTCTGCGGGGGTTCATTACGAAAATCGCCCCCAGAGGGGAAAGGAGGAAGCCACTCAGTGATAAGCAGTGCCACCTCTCGCTACGTCAGCGCGGCCGCCACGGCGCGCCAAAACGCTGACGCGACAGAATGTTCAGGGATCACGATCCCCACAACCTTCTTCGACAAGCTGTCAGGATCGCGACGTCCGACAGCACGACATGATGGCTTCTGCAACGCCAGTTGCCACTCGGAGCCGCTTTTGATGCATTGCCAGTATGGGATGCCAAGCTCACCGGTCAGAGACGCGTTTCGGGTGCACAACGCCTGGAACACCCCTTTGACTGGTGTGTTTACTGCACTACACTCTCTGTGTGTTGCAAGTGGCTGTGATGTGGCCTCAGATTAAGTCGCAGAAGACAGTCTGTCATGCTGTTGGATGTCGCGATTGTGACGGTTGGTGGTAGAAATGCCGGCAAAAAAGGCGATTGGAAACAACGGTCCCCGCCGTCCCAGTGTCCCATTTCGGGTCTGCTTCGGTTTCCATCGACCGTCTGGCTGCTAAACGAGCTGCAGCGGAACAGGCATCTGCAGCTCATGCCGCTGCTCCGCCACCGCTGGGATCACGCCGGCGCGACAGACGTGCAACGTGATCGGGTGGAAATGGAGGAATCGGCAAACCGAGACGTCGTAAATCACGCCACGCGTAACGGGTGCTGTACCTCTGGGGAGGGCGCGCAACCACCGACGATTTCTGCTCTTTTTCGTGCAGGCTTCGAGCCTGGCGCTCTCGGCTACGGCGAACAACCACACGGCGTACAAGACCAGGCTGGAAGCCGACCGGGAAGAGCTCAACGTGGAGAAGACGGTCCAGGAGATGCGAGGTACCGTTTTGTGCGTTTTAATTTAAAGCTCGGCTGCTTCCGTCGAAGTAGTTGACGACGTGTCACGACGGCCGACGAACGAGGAAGCCAGCGTGGACGAGGGTAGAAAGGAAAGCGGCTGGTGAGATTTAAGGGTCAGCCAGGTGTCTTTTTAATCTTGACAACCGCTTCCTTCTTTCCCTCGTTGGATTTGTGTCTTCCTCACTAGACCCACTGAGTAAGCTACACTTGGCGTATCGGCACTGTATTCCCCCGATTGTCTTGCGGGCATTGCCATTTTGTTGCCTGTGCAGAGCGGGTGCAATGGGCGGCCATTACGATTTGAAAATGCGGCTTTTCGCACTTTAGATACGGCGTATTTCCTGAAATTTCAGATAATGTGTGTCGTAAGTAGGGCTCGATGTTTTCGATGACGACTGAAACATTGTGAAAAACTGGGCAATTGTGTTGCATGTTAAACGTGTGGCATCTATGCTCTCTTTTTGTGCGTTAGTTTTTGTGAGCTGGCTTAATGCGTGGCATGTGCACTCGATTCCTGGCGCTGACCCGGGTTTTCAAAAGGTGTGACAGGGTGTCCAGTTGACATCTGCCAGACGCAGAGTGGACGCCCTGCAGGGCTTTTCTTCCAAATAGCAGCTCTACTTACGCCGACGTGTTGTGACATGCTGGAAAAACGCCCACTTAATAAATCTTAATGGTCTGGGTGCTATTTTCACTAAGTGCAAACGCACTTTTACTGCCGATGGCCTCTTCCCCCCGCTCAAAACGAATCAGTGTCAAGCCTTACAGCCACACTTTGATCCAGGTTTTACTTTTGGGCTTCACGAAATGCAGAGCTCCTAGCCAAAGAATGTTTTGCACTAAAAATTGGAGGAAACACCAAAGAAACCCTAATTGGAGCTGTCCTTGGATGAGAGAATTCCAGTAAGCTTTGGAGAAAAGAGAGCCTTATGTACAGCTTTATTCTGTACTGACCCGGGACAGCCCCCTGAACTGACCCTCATTGCAGCTGCTTTCGTCAAGAACTGTGCCATGCCAGTTTTCTCCTTTCATCTTCTCATCGGTACTAGGATGTTTTACAAGTATTTGCATCACGCGTTTGTTTCGTTGAGGAGCGAGGAATTCGACGTCCATGTCTTATTTTTTTAACTTAAGCACCCATAAGTGCAGATTTTTTGCCTGACATCCAAAATTTACTATGAAAAACACTGAATCCAAGAAGAAAAATAAACCCAGAAAAAACAGCCCCAAGCTAAGAAAAATAAACCCCCAAAAGTGTGAAGCATAGCTCTTCTAGCTGCTCCATTCTGCCCCGTCTCTTTAGACATTCTGAGCAGCCTGACAGCCTTCTCCGAGGGCCTGGGCTCGACTTCTACCGCCAACGTGGAGCCGCTGCTCGACGAAGCCACCCGCATCGTGGAGCTTCTCAATGCCACCGAGTTCATGAGGCCCTTCGCCGAAGCAGAGGAAGAGCTGGCGCAGGCCGGAGAAGGTGGGTGTTTCGTTCACTTCTCCGCCGCCGCGATGGATCGATCCATTGCTTTGGTTCTAATGGCACCAAGGTTGCCTCCGTCGGCCAACCGGACACGCGCTTCGAAAACCGCGCCGGCGATTTAAGATGGCTCCAAATCTACTGCAAAGATGTGGCACCTGCTATTTTTGTCGTCTTAGCATGTGGTAGACAATTGGCCGAGTTAAAAATTGGCTGTCTCTTTAGTAACCCTGTGCGAAGAGTGAATCTTGAGTTGGAAGCCATTTCGAAGCGAATGGCGATTTTGACCGAATATTTTTAAATCGAATATCGAATAGTTTCTCGAAGTCTTCCACTACCGTGTGCCATGCGTTTAAAGAAAACTCCAGCTCAACTCATAAAGGTTGTTCCTAACCTTCCACTTGTCCGCATCTAAGCTCGGTTAATTTTATTATAGCTATGTTTATTAACTATGTCATGTAAACGACAAAATTGTCACAGCTATCCTAATCGAGGGGTGTTATAAGTCGGCTTGCTATATGCAAATATTATTTTTCCAAGTTCCAATTTGGCAACAAAAAAGGCTTCTTATGAGTTGTGAATGCGAAAGTATGAATGTCGTTCTTGCACACGTCCTCGTGAAGTTGCCGCGCCTCGCTGACACCGGCCGTGCCGCAGTGGCACAGAATCAGCTGCAGGAATCGGCCGGCATGCTCCGGCAGCCGTGCCGCCACCCGAGCGCGCCAGCCGATTCCATTTATTAGTGCGCTGGAGATGCGGGCAGGCAGCGCCATGGATTGGTGCTAATTGAAACTGACGCGCGGCGGCCTCATTTATTGGCCGTTTTGTGTGGCGTTTTATGCGGCTTCAAAGCTGGGATGCCTCAAATCGTGGCTTCACGAATTTATCTGCCATTTCGCACGGCTGATGACATCGGCTCGCCCCATGGGACAGTTAATGCTTCCGCACTAAAAAAAAAAAACGTTCAGCCTTTCCACTTTAGTAAAGAAGGAAGAGCAGCGGAGCTGTAGCTTCTGTTCTCGGTGATGTCTTTCCAGGCGAGCAATCTGCTCTTCTATTCCAAGGGAATCTGAGCCGTTCGACGCGGTGGAACTTTGGGTGATAGCGGCTTCGCAGCAATTGCGAAACCATTCACGCTGTTGCGCACATCGCCGCTCGTTCCACTCCCACTTTTCTTCCTCCGAAAAAAAGGTTGCTGCCATCTACGAGCGACGGCGGCAAGCAGTTGTGTGGTTGCCGCCATCGCTCATAGATGGCAGCAGGTGTCCAGAGTTCGGTGTCATCATTTCTTTGCTGGTGGACACGATCCTGGGGAAACTAGCCCTTAACAGGTCCGCTGTAAAAGCGAGAATATCGCAGTTCATCTCGAAGCAGATATTGAATAGTGTATTGTTAATTACAACTATTAGAATATTTGTTCAATAGCAGTCTTTGGCATTTACCTAAGGCGTTGTAGCATTTAGAAGCCCCTTTTTTGCTCCCGTCCGTCTAAAACCAGTCTGTCTTGGACGTTATCGCCATACTAAATGGGTTATATATGTAAACTGGCACTTGAACTGCCGGGCGGCCACTAAGAGCGACTGACTTTGTGTCACTACTGGGTCCAGCACTCTCCTTTTGGCAGCCGAGTCCCTCGCTGCTCTTTTTTCACCAAGCTGCACCTGCCGTTGTCGCTCCTGCAGGATTTTGGTGATATACAAAGGCTGCAAGCAAAAGCTTTCATATTGCTTTTGGTCTGCTTTTCTTCTGTTGAGCATTTACCGAGAGAAGTCCTCAGTCCAAGAACAGATGGGCGACTGATCGCTCTTCTCCATCGAGGCTACATCCACGGCGCCAACACGAAGAAAGGGTGACCTTAATAATGCTATCTAGTATTTAAAGAGCAAAATAAAATTGCAATAAAATTTCAGACAGACAATAGGCCAGTGTAAACTGTGATGTCACGTATGCTGCTGCAACCTAGCCTTAATATTATCATTGCAGATTTGTTGAAGTGATGGCTTTTAGGGGCAAAGCTCCTTAGGGTCTAGCCTTGTCCGTCCGGTGTCCGTGCTCACATCGATCTTGCTGGTGCTCGTGCTCGTGAGCTCACGTGCTCACATGCTCGTGCAAAAAAAAAAAAAAAAAATGAAAAAAAAAAAAAAAAAAAGTTTGCGCAGTGGACAGGATTCGAACCTGTGCTGGGAGACCCCAATGGATTTCTAGTCCATTGCCTTAACCACTCGGCCACGACTGCGGCACGAGTAGGGGGCTCTGAGATCTGGTAGTAGCTTAAGAGCTGGGGGTGTCATGGATGAAAGGTTGCATGTAGCCGCTCAACGTCTATACAGGAAAGGGCGCTGCGGTCAAATGCGTATATAATTGCGTTAAACTTTGCATGCATTGGCTCAACGTTAATAGACGAGAAGGCGCTGCGGTCAAATGCTCAAATGCGTATATAACCACGTTCCATACTACACATTCTCTTTCTGACATGGATGAAAAGGAACGAAATGCTCGGCATGCTGCGGCTCAGCATCTGCGCAGACAAGCACCACCAGAGCTTTACCCCAATCAACATCATTCACCACGTGGAGATGCAGTCAATTTTTTAGAGCGCAGCTCTTAGGGGCCCGTTCCCGGCTTGAGCGGCGTCGCCGTCGGCGTTGGCGTCGCCGTCGCCGTCGGCGTCGGCGTAACCAAGGTCATCCCAAGGTCACGTGACCCCCAAGGTCACGTGACCCCTCCCAAGGTCATCTCAAGGTCACGTGACCCCCTGAAGGTCACGTGACCCCTTCCAAGGTCATCTCAAGGTCACGTGACCCCAAGATGACCCCACGTGACCCTTTGAAGGTCACGTGACCCCCAAGTCACGTGACCCCTCTGAGGTCACGTGACCCCCGAGGTCACGTGGTCGCCTCCCCAAGGTCACGTGACCCCCAAGGTCACGTGACCCCTTCCAAGGTCATCTCAAGGTCACGTGACCCCTCTGAGGTCACGTGACCCCTCTGAGGTCACGTGACCCCCCGAGGTCACGTGACCCCTCCAGGTCACGTGACCCCAAGGTCACGTGGGGGTCACCTTTGGGGTCACGTGGCCTTGAGGTCACCCCCAGGTCACGCCTCCCCGAGGTCACGTGACCCCCTCCCCGAAGTCACGTGACACCCCCCCCGGAGCATATTAAAGAATGAGGGGAGGAGGAGGAGAAGGGGGAGGGGTCTACCCTTTCTCAGTACCCTTCACTCCTCCTCCTCAAGAGCTGCGCTCCAATTCGGCGTTACAGGGATTTGTAAACGGCTTTCACTTTTTTTTACCCTCCTTTTAGCTCTTCCTTTTGTTTTTATAGAAGGATGAGTGGCCTTGGCCCTGGCTAATCCTCCTTGTAATAAGTCGCCGAGTGCTCGACATCCGTGCCTCTCTACTCTCTGCTGAAGGTGCCCACTGCGTGCCGTTGCAGGCCTGGAGCGTGCGCAGAACTTCTCGCTGCCGGCGGTGCAGAACGACGCAACCCTGGAGGACCTGCGGCAGATGATGGCGGAGGAGCTGGAGGGGCGCCTCTACGAGCTGGCCAACCACACCCAGAGGGTCGAGGACATGGTGCGGGAGGTGGCCCACCTGCAGAACACGGCTAACGGCTCCCCGTTCAGGGTGAGTGCATCTGCCATCCTGAGCCAGAGGCTCTGCTCCATGCTAACGTGCAGTGCACCATATTAAAAATCACGTTGCTCCGAGAGCAGTTGCCCTCCACAGACCTCTCTTTCTCATGTTGGCATTGATCATGGTAACAAGGTCCCTTGTAGTCGGCGCCCATGGTTCCCAACCTTCCGCTTGTCCACTTCTAAGCTCGGTTAATTTTGATATAACTATATTTATTAACTGGGGCATGTAAATGACATATTTGTCGCAGCTATCCTAATTGAGGGGCTTAATAAACCAGCTTGCTGTATGCAAATGTTTTTTTTTTCTATATCATATTTGACAAAAAACACGGAAATCGTAAGTTACTCCACTGTGTGAAGGTGCATGACCTGCGAAGCTGTTGAGCACACAAAACAGACCCGCCCTAAGGAGCTGGAGGAAACTAGACATGCACAACAGGACCACCCCTCCGGGAGACAGGAAGGAAAGGAAACTAGGCAGGCAAGAGCTGAGAACGACGACTAAGAGGGGGGATTCAATGGCCGAGTGGGCTACAGTGCACACCCAGCTTGACGCGCGTAGAGCGAAAGCTCGCGCTGCAGAAGCCAGGGTTCAAGCCCCACCCCTGCCCGTTTCGATCTGGATGAGCATCGTACCGGTGTGTGGTCGTGTATCACTACTGCGTGATGCACGTTAAAGACCCAGGCTAGCAGTCGTACTGTACTGGCAAAATTGCTCATCTACAGTGTAAACTAGTGTCGCCCCCCCCCTGGCAGAGCGACCTTACGCTGTATAAACACTAAACATCCAATTTGGCTTTTTGACTTTGACGACAAATAGAGGGCAGTGCGAGCGTAAACATGGCCGACGCTGGTCGCACAGTGGCAAATCTTCGAGAAACTTTTATTATCTACCTGGGAGTCTACTGATCTTGAAAATGGTGCCTATTGATAACTTATCTACTTAATAGACCTATTGCTAAATTACCCAAGCATCGAGGAGAATGCAGGGAATGGTGTTCCACGCGTTGCATGTGCTGGCGTCTGTAGCAATAACTGTTCTAAAGTAAAAGCCTAAACAAATGGCATCTTGCATGCACGTTTGTCAACGCTGAGGCATTCTGCTACAGATCTAGTGAAGAAAAACGTTTGGTATTACATTATTTTTCAAACGATAGTTTTCTCAAACAAAGTCAGTGTGTTTCTGATAAAAACGACTATAATTTATTTGACAATTCATGTATGCAGATGAAGCTTTGCACTGCATTCTGCCTCACAACTGCCAGTATATACTGTAAATTTAATTCATAATAAGCAAAAGGTTCAAAAGTTAACTCTTTTGGGTAGTGTCCCCCTTAATGTAACCAGTAATATAATGTGATTTTTGTTTTGTTTTGTATTTTGCAATTTTTTCTAGCTGCATTGTTACTTGTTGTGTAGTGCACTTTCAAACCTTCTTATCTATTTATTTATTCAACATACCCCTAAGGCTCTCCAAGGGAGGATATTATGTAGGGTACAATATAGAATATATTGTATTCACGTCTAACGGGACATTTTGTTTGCTTCTATGTTCACCCACTGTGCAATGCCTCGAATCCCGGAGAAAAGCTCACCGGAGAAAAGCTCACCGGAGATAAGCTCACCGGAGATAAGCTCACCGGAGAAAAGCTCATCGCAAAACCGGCGGATGCGGAGAAAAGCTCACCGGCCATTGAGCGTATGCGAAGAAAAGCTCACCGATTTTTTTTCTTCTTTTTATATGGAGGCTATTGGATCATGCGTAACATATATCAATTTATTATCATTAAAATTTGTCAGCTTTGTAAAAAAGAAAATGTCCTTTTTTTGTATTATTTGTTAAGCTTATTAGGTATATTGCTCCCAAATTAATAATTGCGGGCGAGTGTTTTCTGTGGCTTACTCTGTAGGCAACGAAAGCCCAACTCAAATTTGTATGAACTTGAAAAACAGAAAAAAGTTCGAAAACTTAATAATGTCTGCCTAAAACCTAAAAATCAAAACTGTAAATGCCAAAGATCCGAAAGTGCATGCGGACAACAACGCGGTGCTTGAAATTCTCTTTGAAGCTTTTGTTAATTTTTGAAAATAGGACAAAACAGTCAGCAGGATATAAAAACTTTTTTTCTTTCACGGAGAAGCACGTTTTCTAGCCGTTCGTGCTGGTGTTTCTACACGTTGCCTTTGTGTGATAGTGCCTTTCTACGGCGAGGCACCAATGACCTTCAGAGCTGCACACTGGCACCGTTGTTACTCGTGACCTATATAAGAAGTAGTCTTCTTTAAGGTGGCGAATAGGGCGAGTTGGTAAACGTTATACATGATAAAAACCGCTCAAACGACGACGACGGAGTGAAGACAACAAACACGACAGGACGAATCTGTTCTCGCAACTAAAGTTTTGTTAGTGAATTTAACAAAAAAAAAAAAACAAAAAAAAACAGCGTAGCCGATACTGATACATCAACAAACACCTACTTACCTATTAGGCACTACACAATATTTGAAACTGAAACGGTTCACCACACCGCTATTCATATTAGCTCACAAAGAACAAACATCTTTATTTGACAGAGCTACCGATGGCACCTTGCCAGTTGCCAATAAATTGTCTTTTTCACCGGTGTACGATGTTATGATTTTGTACTATGCGAATTATGTTAAATTACAACGTTTGATGCAGAATCCGCTAAGTTAAAGAAAAAATTGGTGAGCTTTTTTCCGCATCCGCTCAACAGCCGCGGTGAGCTTTTCTCCGCATCTGCCGGTTTTGCGGTGAGCTTTTCTCCGGTGAGCTTATCTCCGGTGAGCTTTTCTCCGGTGAGCTTTTCTCCGGTGAGCTTTTCTCCGCCGCCCCAATGCCTCACCTCTCTCTCGGATTCAGTCATTCTATAACGCCATTGCTCCACCCCACCTTGATATATCTGCAGCTGTTCAATGTACCGTCGCCATTTGGATAATCTTACATTTGTCTCTTAACTTTATGTGTGTTTAGGATTTTTTGTTTGTTTGCTGGTTTTGCTGTTTGTGTTGGTGCACCAAGGGGAAGACCGATCTGGTTGTTTTTGGGCACCCAAAATAGAGAATATTATTATTATTATAAAGTAACAAATATCTAAACATAACGGCAAAACAAGAAAAATGTACAAAAACAAGTTAAAAGGATTAGTAAGATAGGTAAGACAAGTGAAACACAATTGAGATAAATTGTATGTTATTGTCACTCTACAATGAGTTCATGGAATTTTGTTACCTCGTCTTTGGTGGCTCTGTGTGCTGGCGGATTATTCCAATTGAATATTCTTTGTGGCTTGGTTCAGGGGATCATTGCCCAAAGCGAGGAGCTCAAGTTGCAGTCCGAGGCACTTCAGAAGGAGGCCAGGGAACTCCTTCGGGCCTGCCAGGACTACTACCCGGACGCAGAAAACGCCTATGAGGTGAGCACCCATGCTACCTTACTGAAAGCGATGGCCTTTCACAAGGAGTGTTGGGAAATGCGCTCAGAATCTTACATAATATGCTTGCTAGTGGAGTAAACTTAAATCTTTCTTACTACAGGAAAAGAGGCTGTTATGGGGTGATCTCAAGGAAAAATTGTTTAGCTGCAAATATCCCTACTAGGTATAATTCTGTACAAAGCATACCAAAATGTAGCTAAAGGAATTCTCTTTTCAAAAACGAAAATGTCATTAAGATATTATGTAGCACAAAAAATGTAATGTCAAATTTTGTGTAACCAATGCAGAAGTTATTTTAATTTGATGTACCTTGCAAAGTATTAGGAGTAAAAAAAATTAAAACATATATTTTGTAGCTTACTTTTCTAGAAACAACTCCTGCGAATTTGAACAGTTTCCATGCAAAACCTCTTGTTTTGTGACGACCGTACCATTCCTTAAAGCCCCACCCAACTCGTTCCATGCTACTCCGTAGCCTGATGCCGAGGTCAGGACCGGGCCGCTTTTTCAGAGAAAACTCCACTCGTTTTCCTGCTGACAGCATAAAACCAATTGTACGTAAGGTTGACGCCCTGCAGGTGAAAAATAAAGCGTTTCGAACACACCCAGTGTGTCCACAGAAGCTCACGGAGGCAAGAAATGCCTTCAGCGAGCTAACACGAAACGTACCGACAGGCACCTGTGGATAATTCCTGCTGGTTCGACCCACTGCCACAATTGAAACTAAGATCCAATGAAAGTCATCTTCTGACTCACTGCTGCCACTTTTATCCAGAAAACTAATTGCATATGCACCGGAATCACGAGACAGGTGATGTTGCTGAGGGGCGTCGGCGTGCAGCGAAGACGCTGTGCCTGTACGATCACTCACGATCTTGGAACTTTAAAGTCACGCAAAATAACGCCCCCTCGCAGAAGAGAAAAAAAAAAATGAAACGGAAACTTAAAGCAGAGTTCCTTCTTAATATCCCAGATGGCATTGCATGTCTCAAAATGGCGCTGAACATCACCGCGAAGCGACGAGGTGCATTCAGTGTCACTACTGCCCCTGCCAGAATAGTGTGCCCGTCGGTTTCGTGAAGTATAATGCGGGCGAATATGGAATGCACCTTTGACGATGCAACGCACCTCCAGATTATGACCGCCCCGGCCCGTTTTGCCCCCAGGGCCTGCGTGAGAACTCTGCCCGTCTGCGAGACATGGTGGACCAACTGCAGACGTTCCTGGAGAAGCTGAGCCCTGCGACGGAGAAGGCCGTGCCCTACGTGCGGGAGGCGGAGATCCACTCGCACAAGCTCCAGCAGCAGGCCAGGGAGTGCCAGACGTGAGTCCCTTGCGTCGGGAGGGCACGGACAAAGGCGGGAGCACGGTGTAGGAAGGCTCTTTAGGTGTGGAGACTCCTCTCCTCGCCCCGTCGGAACGGCGAACACATCATCTCCCCTCCTTTCCTATGTTTTCTCCGCCTGCCCCTAGAGGGCGCCAAAACGTTCAGGCCATCCGGTCGCCGGCCCTCTGCCGAAACGTGGGCCAAGTCACCCATTGCTTCCGCCCCCTCTAATTGTTTCCAAATTTTTTTTTTTTTTTGCAATGGTGAAAAGAGCATAAAAGAAATGTAAAAAACCAAAGATCCGAACTTGGAAATGGCCAAACATTTGAATGAACACGCCGACTGCTCTCCAGCCTGGGGAAACGTGAACATTTTAGAAAGGGAAAACAATGACATGAAAATATTAGTAAAAGAGACGATCAGGATAAAGACGTCTGCCGAATGCATCAGTCACATGCTCGGTTGTTGTTCTTCTCCGAATTGAGGGCGACTAGTATGGGATTGTCTTGCATGCGGTAGACGCAGACACAACAGACTGCCCATCTGTTCAGGGTCGGATTCTGTCTGGCGTTCTCGTGGAATGCAGACACCTCCGTGGAAGGCAGACGCTTCTCTGGTTTCAGTCGAACGTGCAAAAGGGTTCGGATCGCATGAGAATGCAACAGGACTTCAAAGGAAAAAACCGAGATGCAAAGAAGCAGTCTCGAGAGAAGAAGGAAGAGTCCCGACTGTGCGACTCGTAATGTGGAAAAGAACTCCAAAAGCAACTATAGAGTATGTCATACATTAAGCAATGTTTGAACAGCATCTCTTTTTACAGCAATTTTTTTTTATTTTTTTTTTAAGTTTGTGATTGTATTATTATTATACTTATATCAGAAGTGCCATTAATACAACCGGTTTGTTTTCCTTGACGAGTGTGGTGACTATAAACTTTTGTTGCAATCTGCTACATGCCAACGTAAGTGTACTAACAAAGTAAACCTTTCAAAGAAAGCTGCTTTCATTAAACTGCGTGCAAAATGTGTAACTTCGTGCCAGTTCGGTCAGCAGTTCAATTTAGCAGGACTCAAAGGCTGCCTTAATATGTAAAAGAATAATCACGTTAGCTGCCCCGCATGTTGAAAAAAAATTTTTTTTTTATTAGTCCAGTTGAATTAACAGTAATTTGCGAACCCAATATATATATTTTTTTAGAAAAGTCACGCGAACGGAGCTTAAAACAATTCAGTTTATTATCCGCTAACAAGGTTTGTGTTAAACATTCTTTATTTTTGTGCATTCTTTTTTTTTTCTTTCGGTCGCACTCAAGTTATCGTTTACCTGCGATGCATTCAGAGTTTATTCATTTTACAAACGCTTACCGACGTTAATGTAAGCTAGGCTAGAAATTATCTACAGCAGAGGGATATTTCTTTCTCACTCGTAGACCCCGCGTCAGCTGGTATTAGGGAGTTACTCTTGTTTGTCCGCCTGCCATTTTTCGGGTTATGTAAACTTCAGTGTGCTGAGAGAGATGATAGTGGCCCCACCTACATACCACATCGTACGCGAACCCGTAGCCACCGAAAGCAAGCTGTACGCCGAGCAGGCAGCTAGCACAAGTAGCCCGGTACGCTGCCGGCCTGAAACTTACGGCGCCATCTAGGGGTGGCTCCGTGAAGTGAAGCGCGCAGGGTGTCATTATCTGGTCGCAGCGGAGAGCGGAGTCTCTACACCTAAAGAGCCTTCTTACACCGGGGGCGGGAGCTAGAGTGTTGCGACAGCAGTGAATGACCACTTCGTTACAGTGATACATTCAAACCCGTATATATAGAATTCAAAGGGAAGTGTAAAATATTTTGATATAATGACAATTGACCCGTAAGTGATGACGTCACAACATGGCGTCTGGGTCCAAACAAATCGTTGCTAGGGACGTTGCTATGGACCAATGCATGGAGACTCCAGATGAGGCTAAATGTTTGCTTACGAGTAAGTAAATAATTTTTTGTAAGCAACCTAACTTTTTGATATCTAATTATTAAGATGTTATTGTCGTCTCAGTGTCGTATTCCGACGATGAAAGCCATTTTGGGAGTATTACACTTCGCTTTGCTTTGGTAGCAGACGACACGGTTGCAGCGGGCGTCTATTGCGGCAAAAACAAGTGCATCGCTATGGCAGTAGAGGCCTCCGCATTGTGCGTTTTTTTCTGTGAAGAACCGAGTTTAGTTGAAAGGGGTGAAAATGCCGTTAAGTCCAACCATGTCATGCAAATCAGTTACGACGACGATCTTAAGTGCTTTACCGGCGTAGTGCAGGCCAGCATGAAAAACAGATCGTACGCCGTCGAGGTAAGTCGTTTATTATTATTATTATTAAGGTTGTCAGGTTATTAAAGAATCGCATGTCTATCGCAATTTCGCACTAGTTTGCTTTTTTTTTTTTTTTTTTTGTATACATCAAATTTTGTGGATGTGATCTTTTGTTGAAGATCTCCATCGAACCCGCGATGCGAGTACAACCTGTAAAATGCATCGTAATTTTAATAACTGTAGACTAGTGGGCCCCTTTTTAGTGTTGTTAATTTCATTGTAGAAGGCTGATTTTTTAATTGTGCGCAATTAAAAAGACCCCTCTTGTAATCATTGATTTACGTTGAAACCGCGAAAATATATAGTTCAATGTAAAATACATTGTAGTTATAAGAACTTTAGACAACTTAGAAGACCCCTCTTAATTGTTTTCATCTATCGAATTGAGAAAATAACATATAAATACATTTTAAAAAATTAATTGGGATATAGCTATATGTCGCTGTCAAGCTTCAAAGAAGCATGCTCGTGAAGCTGAGTAAGATTTTGCAAACAGGAAATTCTAATGACAGGTACATAGAGCTGAACTAGGGAATTTTATAAAAAAATCTTTTTCTTCAGGTTGAAATGACGAACCCCAAGACTGTGGCCAGGGCCACCTGCAACTGCCCTCGAGGTTCCCTTCGATGCCATCACATGGCAGCTCTCCTCCTCTTTGCTCATAAAAATATTTCCTGCACAGATCGAGCTTGCACATGGACCATGAAGACGACTTCAAAGGACAGACAGGTTGGACCAGTCGAGACTCTGATTCCGAGTCCATGTACTTCCGCTTCACTGAATCGGCCCGTTAGTGAGGAGGACAAAGACTGGATTAGGAGTCGCCTGGATGCTCTTGGGGCCACAGTTGGCTACACATGGCTGTTGTCCAGAGAGCCAGACATGCCCATTCATGTCACTATTGAGGACCTAATATTTAGTGATGAATACACCCAGGCAGCCGACCGAACCGCCTATCTGGTTGAGAAAGCCGCAAAGTCACGTGAAGAGATCCAGCAGCTGGCAGAGTCTACAGCTGGACAACGCACAAATCCGCTGTGGCAAGTGGAGAGAAAGCTACGCCTGACCGCGAGTAACTTTGGAAAAGTCCTCAAGGCGTGTGAGAACGACAGCTTTCCTCCTTCACTCTTTCGTCACCTACTTGGCGAATACTCACTGGAAGGTGTAAAAGCTGTCCAATGGGGCATCATCCATGAACCAGATGCTATCAAGGCATTTAGCGAAGCCACCAGCCTGACGCCAACGCCAACAGGGCTCTGGCTGCACGAGTCGGGCCTGTTAGGTGCATCACCGGATGGTCTTGTTGGAGACGAGGCTGTTCTTGAAGTAAAATGCCCATGGAAATTTCGTGAGGGGTCGTTGCTATGCCACTTGAAGGACGCCAAGGACTACAGCCTACGTTATGATGGCAGCAGCGTGCTTGTGAACAAAGGCCATGACGACTACCACCAACTCCAAGCTCAGATGTATTTTGCGAAGCGAACTAAGGGGTACCTCACGATCTGGAACCCAAAAGGCAGTATCACTGTTGGCATTAAGAAGGATGCAGAGTGGGCAGCTAATCTCGACATTCTACTGCACTTTTATCATGACACTTTTATTCCACACTTATTCACGTACTAGCAATATGTAGATCATGATTAAAGTAATCATGATTCTTGTCTCACGGTTACTACAGTCGTGATAGCTGACCAGCTTGCGTGTACTTTAATCAGTGTTGGGAAGTACTTTAAGTACATTGTACTTAAAAGTACTTTTTCAAGTAGGTTTAGGTAACTTGTACTTTACTTGAAGTACATTCTCTGAGCATGTAGTACTTTACTTAAAGTACATTGTATTTATAGTACTTTACTTCAAGTACTGGCCAGTGTACTTACTACTTTACTTAAAGTACATTGTATTTATAGTACTTTACTTCAAGTACATTGCAGCCAGTGTACTTACTACTTTACTTGAAGTACATCACGTCTCATTTACTTTGTACTTTACTTGAAATACTTTTTAGGTGTACTTTACCCAACACTGACTTTCATGCTCATCTTACGTATGTCACTGAACTCGAACACAAAGGCATTTACAGGTGCTGCTCTTCATCATCACACATTTGGTCATTTGTTTACTACTTCTCATGTTAGGAGCATCTTTTTGCCACGAATTGATACAAAACATGTTTACTAGTATTGCTACAGAGGGGAACTATGCACATGCTAGTGTATTTTTAGCTCCACATTCTCAACTCAGGCAGTCTAAACATGACATTGCATTTTCTCGCATTATTCTCGCATTTAACCACAAATATAAAAGCCATTGTTCATTTGTTTATGCCTACTATGTCATGCTCTGTACAGTTTGTTGTCTATAATTATTCATGCAAAATAAAAGAAACTGAAAATGATCCAGTTCAATCTAACGAATCCTGTCTTTTCTACACGAGAGACATGGCTGCATGCATTTCGCACTACTACACATCAAGAGACATCATTCAATGAGTGAAGACGAAGGAAGACATGACCAGCCCAGCTGTTAATCATTACTGCAGCCACATATATTTAGTTTTTGTCTGAAGCATATGACTTCAGTATTTTTTTATACTAGCTGTGTCTTTCAAACAGTTACATCTCTGACCTGTCAAGCTTCCAT